TATATCAAGATATTAATTTAAGTTTTCTATCATACGAAATATAATATTAATGCAGTTTATACATATTTCAACAAACACACATATATTATATAAATCAATTTAAAATCATCCTCTATTTTTTTGTTTTTTACTATTGTCTTCTTCCTCAATTAAATCTAATGCCTCCTATTCTATTGATTAAGGTTAGTAAACATAAGGTTATGGTTTTAAAATTTCAAGTAACCCATTTTCGCTGAATAACAAATAACAATCTTTTAATTGTTTAATATGTCTAATCTATTCAGTAGAATTTGATCCATATAGGGCAACTATTTCTTATTTTTCATTTTTTTAATAGATTTCCTTTCCGTTGCCTACAAAATATTTAAATTCATTATCAGCCATTACATCAATTAAGTAATCTTCATGAAATTCATCCTATAAATTATAAACAAATAATAATACATTTTTTATTGCTTAGAACTAATAGAGCTTTTTATCATTTTATTAATCTAAAATTGTAATTTAATTTGTGGTTGTAACACAAAAGCAAAAATTATTCCAATAACCACAAGAGTTCAGAGGCTAATCAAATCTAATCATCATTTGTAATGATTCATCCTCATTTTTCTGGGTTAAATCATATTAAACTAATAAACCATCAGTTGAAGATGATAAAAGTTGTGTCTAATTTTAGGGATGGAAATTCATTGAAGATAATTCATCATTTTAGGATGAATCAAATCTAGATCTCCATTTCATAACATTAAGATCATAGAAATCAATTCTACCCTCACTTCCACCTGCTAAAATATGCTTAGATTTAGCTATTGAATAAAATTCTTTTTCGTTCTTAAATTAATGAATTTATTATTTGGATTGTAAATCAAAAACTTTAATTGTTCTATCATTTGAGCAAGTGAATGCTACATTGTTTTCCACTATTAATTATTATATTCTTTTTTAATGATGATTCTTTTATTCCCAAATAACTTATTGAGTATTTAAATCAATCCATTTTAATGAAAAGTCAGTCATGGCCATTAACACCGTATCATTGATAAATTACAAGGAAAGAGGGAACTTAATGTATTATTAATTGATACTTCGTTATCTGAAATTTAGAATTGATTAACAGGTGAATGCTTAACTTTAATATAATCCATAAATTAAATTTATGAAATAGAAGGAAAATAATGAAATAGATGAACTTCTAATATTAACACAGAAATCGAAATTGTTAGTGCCATAATTTAAGCGAATCCAATAATAATGCGATTTGTATTCCATCATATTACAACCTATAGTTGTTAAAAATAAATGGCTAAATACTCATGTCCTAAATGTAATAAGATGCAATGTTCATTGGACTGTTACAAAACTCACAGTGAAACATGCACATCTTCATTCTAGAAGGAGCATGAGATATAGAAGATGAAAGGGTTGAAGGCTTCCTTTGAGGAGTAAATTGAGATGAAAAAAGCTCTTAATCAATTCTATGAAGAAGTAAATTAAAAATGTAATAAAGTCTAAAGATGAAAATATTGTTCCAATGAATGAGGAGGAGATAAATGAAAGATGGGAAGAATTGCAAGAATTGTGTGAGCAAGGTAAATTGAATTTAGATTAATTGACATTGGCTGAATAACATGAGTTTGCAAAGTTTATTTAAGAAATGGTAATATAAGAACCCTGGATTCCCTGGTGGGAAGTAAATGATGTAAATGATTGATAAATATACAAGGGAGTATTTTCATTATATGTTGATGAATTGGATTAAAATTAAAAGACAAACAAAGAAATTCATCAAAATCCTTACCTTGAATTTAGATCAACTCTAAAGTAGAAAATCTAAACTGTGGTGCCCTTCAATAAATTATGTAAAATCTAGCATGAAGATTTAAGAAATCATCTATTTAATTTAATGTAATTTTTATAGTTATTATTTCAATTTAGTGCTTCGATATCAATCATAGCTAAGGTTCTAGATGGAGACATCATTGAATTGAATAGAGAATTCTATAATATGTTCACAATTCTCAGCTACACTATGGATGACAATACTTCATTGATTGGAAATTTAGATCTCTCTTACAAAAAGTTAAAAGAACATGCTCACAAAGTAGATAAAGGATTAATTTTACCATATATTAATAGGGAGGACTTAATTAAAATATTCTCAAACAAATTTTTTGTTATTGAAATTTTGTTTTATGCTTATGATGCCATTCATTCAATTGAACATCAAGCATAAAATGAAGACAATACTGATTTTGCGGAATACAAAAAGTTGATAAAAACACTAAATCTTAAAAAATAAAAATTGCTGTTTTATATATCTTATGCTTTATCAAAAAATCATGAATTCTATTAGCAAATAAGAACTTAGATCAAAGAATTGAATGAGTGAATATATAAAGAATCAATAAAATCAACAATTACTACTGATTTCAAATGTTTCTTTGCTTTCTTCATCATCTGTCTAATCCTAAATTTTAAGTTCCACATGAGGGGAATTGAGTCCTGCCTCTTACCTCAATTCTATTTCTTCAAAGTCCTAATGATTCATAGTATGGGTTCTAGGAATTTCGAATTGTTTTTAGATGTTATCTTGATTCAAAACCATAGATTACGAGAGAATCTATTTTTTCCAATTTTTTCGTGAATGCTAATTGTTCAGCATAAATTACTAATATAATTTTGATACAGGTCGAACATCAGGTTGCTTTAATTATATGGATAAATTACTTGACTAAGCCAAATTAAGAAGGGTAACAACATATCTAACTCTTTATCATTTTTATCCTGTATAAAATCTTTGATTAAAAAGCCATTCTCTGGTTAAAATAAAAACGACATTTAGGAATTCTAATTAAATCAATATGCGTTACATCTATTATTAACACTTCTTTTAAGTTTCTTCCTAATTTATTTAGATTTTTGGTCAGTCCTCCTCTAATTGGAGTGCAACTTTCTCTATAAAGTCTTGTTTGAATCCTTCTTTATGGATCAATAATATCGATAACAGGATCAGCATACTCTTTTAAGCTAGCAGTCCATAATACTATGTCAAAATATTCACTTAGTGATTCTATAAATGTTTCCACTCCTGGTCTCACTGTAACAAATACTTTAAATAATTGACTTTATACAATTATCTAACATATTTTTAATATTACATCAAGTAAAAAATCATAACCATTGTCAGCTTTAAATTAACTATGTACCAATGTTTCGTCCAAATCTAAAACACAGAGTTTTCTAGCCTGGGATTTAATTTAATCTAACTTACATGAGATTTTGGAGTATCAATTCCTAATTAATATCTTTCATTAGCCCTCACATTCTTCTTTTAAAAAAAATAAAGGCATGAACACAGCTATTCTAAAATCGAAGGTTTTCTCTCTCTTTACTCCTACTGCTACTAATATATAATGTCATTGTTATTCATCCTCAAATATTTAAATAATGAATTAAAATTAGAATGAGGAAGGTAATATATTTATACACAAAATAGCTCCTAAAAAGCACACCATAGTTCTCTGCACTGGAAACGTAATTATAAATTCTAATCATCTAGAAAAATAAACTTAAGGAATTTATTCAAATTATGGGAGATCAATTTCACATTGATTCTGAACCTGTAGATTGTAATTCATTATTATTATTCACCAGTGCCTGAGTTATAAGGGCCACCTCTTTAAATAGCAAAAGAGAAAGCCTTGCTCGCATATGAGAAAATCGGAAAGGCCTGTGTTACAGAGGATACTTCATTATGCTTCAATGCTCTTAATGGAATGCCTGGCCCTTATGTGTACATATGGTTAATTGTTCTAAAATAGGAAGTGGTTTTTGGATGCAGCAGGACCTGAGGGATTAAGCAAAATGTTAGATGGATTTGAGGATAAGACAGGTTATGCTCAATGCATTTTATCTTATATGGGACCAGAATTAAAGGAACCATTACAATTTGTCGGATAAACTTCAGGAGTAATTGTGCGACCGAGAGGACCTAGAAATTTTGGCTGGGATCCAATCTTTTAACCTGATGGATATACAGATACGTATAGATTAGAAATATTTAAGATATGCCGAAATGGATAAGGATTTGAAGAATAAAATATCTCATAGGCTTAAGGCAATCCAAAAATTCATTGATCATTTTCTAGTAAATTGAGTGGTATAAAACAATGTGTTTTATGATAAAATGAAATTTCATTATTTATCTAGAAGATCTGCCATCGTATACAATCTTCTAAAAGATTTCTGATTCGATTTTGGTTTTTCTTCGTTAGGATCAATGACCTTTATTTATATTTGTTTATTGAATGAAACTATTTTCTTTCCAGGACTAACCTTAGGCGAGTAATCTTCTTTTTAGATTGGTTATAACGAAACCTGCTTATTATGTTTTAACATATTCAAATTGGATTTTTATTATTATTATTATTATTATTTAAAATCTTAATTATCAAGCTCGAAGAAATCAAATATATCTGTATGTTCTCGACTGTTTGAACTTTTTCTTTTGAGAATACTTTTTAATTGCATTTGTTAATCTTACATATTTTCTTCTTTTTTGAAGATGTGACGATGATTTTATTCGTATTATTATTTTGTAAATGGCTTGAGTATGGATTGCTTTTTTTCTTCTCTAAATATCTCTCTAATAAGTTCTTTTCTTTGTAATTCAATTCTAGATGTGAATTGTTCAGCAGCAGGTTCAAGATTAGGTATTTTATGGAGATTGAGTAAATCCATACCTTTGGAAGGGATCAAGATGCTGTTTTATTGTTTTCGTAATTAATTTGAAGAGGGAGTTTGAATAATTTCAGGGAGAAAATTGTTACTTTTTGAGGAGGGTCTAGAAATGAGACTTTGCTTTTTGGTTTCTGATCTTAGCAATGCTTGAGAAATCATTAAATAATTAATTAAGAGAGGACTCGAAAGGATTAAATATTATGAAGAATAAATGGACTCTGAAAAGTTGAGGTTGATGTAATAAGTGATAGAGATAGGATTTTAGTAATAATTCTGATATGATAAGAATTTCATTTTTCTGTAAGCTCTCTGTATCCTTTCCAATCATGTGGAGCCTTTCCTCCATGAGAATGGATGACCTCCAAAAGAGTGTTCGATGGACCATCCTTGTGATCTGGAATCATATACTTAAAGATATCATGCAATTTATACCAAAGTCTTAGAAAATAGAGATTACGCAAGTTCCCATTAACCTTTGATGTAGAATTGGAAGCCCTCTAGCCAAGTCTGGTAAAACTCCTAATTGCAAAGATATATATCAAATTACTTTCGTATAAGGTTCTCTGGCATGGATGATTTCTTCATCAGTATTAAATTGATCTGCAACATTGATTTTGTCCTTGGATACATCCTTTTGGAGTTAGTTTCTCTTGAATCTATTGAGCACTCTGAACTACTTTTATTCTTGTTAATTCATTTTGGTCACGTCAAATTTGTCATGCAATTCTTTCGTTTTGGCTATTAGATTCTTGATTGACATATCAATCGTATGGATTTCTACAGGTTCGATGCTACCTTTGACAGTCACAATATCAATGAGTCGTAATTGTTTCTGACATTACTCTGTGAGATGCTATTTTAGGATTCCACTAATAAGGATGACAGAACCAAATTATTTGGTGGCAGCTTCTAATCTGGATGCCAAATTGACATTTGGACTCAAATATGATGCGTCGATTTTAAATGAGGATCCTATTGCACCTTCAATGCCCCATCCCATATGTAATCCAAATCCCATCTTTACAGAGTAATCCTTCATTCTAGCATTCAATCCTGCATGTTTCTTATACTTTTCCAGTTTCTTGGAAATTGAGATTGCTGTGATAATCTTTAAGAATGACAACACTGCCATGTCACCCTTCTATTTAATATGATGTTCAGTGCGAACTATAAGTTTGGATGGATATTGGGGATCTGGATGATATTCCATAGGGAAATATTTCCAGACTAGAAGGAAAGCATCTCCAATGTTTTTATTTGCAGATCCCCCATAACTGTCAACAGTAGAATGTACAATCTCTGCAATCTCATTGACAAACACCATGACATCTTATTGCAGTACTTCCGTAGCATCAGTGAAATTTCTGATGTCACAAAATCCAAAGATAGCCATAATCTTCTTACCTGGTAACATGGGATCAACACTGCCTCCTTTTTTAATGTTCTCAGCGATTATTTCAGACCCTGCCTCTCCAAATCCTACAGCCAATAATGCTCCCACTTTCATTATTAATCTCTACAGAAGATAGGTTTCCATTCTCCTCTCCATATATTTCTACTTAATTTTCTCATCATCTTCGTCTTTCTCCAGTTACTCCATTATGAGATCCTCTTATTCTTCAATATAGACAGCTTCTAAAGGATTTTGGGCTATCAATTCTATTTTTTCCATCATCCGTTCTATTGGATCTATCACTAATTCATTGACATCCTTATTAAATAAGACTGCGCTACCAGCCAAGACTATGCATACAAATATGGTTTAGAAGATAGAAAGAATAGCATTGGTTTTATTGTATTCTACTAAATCAGCCACAGAGCAAGTTACCAAAATGTTATTTGAATCGACTGCAGCATAATATTACTTGTCTGATTATCTATACTCGTCTAATTTATAAGTTGTTTCTTAAAACCAATTGTGATTTTGAGAGTAGTTGAATATTTCGAAATTTGAATCATTGAGTTTTGGAGAACTCTCTGTCACATTTTGTCTTTATACAAAAACAGCAAGAATTGGATAGATCTCATCTTAATGGAATCCGACATATTATTGAGTAAGACTTGAAACAATTTAATAGTTGTCCTTAAACTATGCAATTCTAAAGATACCTGAATCATAAGAATTTATCGTTTCCTAATAAGTATCCAGTTATAAGGCTGGAATACTTATCAAGATGGATAAAACTATTGTTATGACTCTCCTCATCACCAAATCAGACAATTTAGTACCAACATTACTTTCCTTCACGTTATCACTGTTCGTTAAAGATATCTGACTTGACTTCAATTATTCATTTAATGTGATTGCAGCATTCACATTGGTTTGATATTGATTTGATTATTGATTAGATTGGGCAGACATCTATGAACCTCCTAAATGGTTGTTCTAGGGAACCTGCGATTGTTGTATCTACCCAATATAAGGTTGCTTACATTCAGTAACTAGTTTTTGTTGTTCGTTGAGTTCTTATCCATCGTCGTTAGATTTAAAATGCTACCTACCTGAGGGAGGAGGAGATGGATATGAAGAGTTTCTCTACATTAAATATTGTTGATGATGAGGAGTGCCATTGTTTAATTGTTAAGATTATTGTGATTGTTACATTTATTATTACTATTACTATTACTGCTTTTAATTTTCCTCGCTTATTAGTTTGTTTTATTTGAGAATCTATTAAAGAATTTTTTTTTATTGCTCTTTTTCATATTATTATCTTGCATGTTTATATAATTTTACCAATCTTACTAAACGAATTATTCGAATCACTCTTGCTGCCTTCCTAGCCACTCTCGAGGCCCTACCCAATGCTTTTATTGTTGCAGCATTCCCGATATCGCCTTCTTCTCCATACCACAAATCAGTGATCCAACCAATATCTAATATCATTGTTGCTGTCGAAATTACATCCAAAAAAAAGTAAAACTAATAAAAATCAATAGGAACTAACTACATACATTCAAAATATAGTTTGGGTTTACTATGGAAGTCAATATTATTTCAAGTGAAAAAAAGGACATACTTATTATAGTTAGAATGAAAAAGATGTCATCCTCCGTTTTATCGACTGATAAAATTCTCACGTCATCTCCAAATAAAGCATAAAGAGTTACTATGGCCATTATAATAGAAAATATCCATCCCTCTATCAATTAAGAAATCCATTTCTATAATGTAGGTGTTTATTTTATGTTTTGCAATTTAGACAGTCTAGCCATTATTGTACTATTCAATCTCCGAGGAGGTTTTTTTCTCTACTCATCGTTTCCACTTTAATTAATCACTAGATTGGAGCCTCTTGCACTTTTTACACTTTTTACACTATTCGGGCTTCTATAAGATCTCAAATCATTCAAGTCAGCCACGCTGGAAGGACTTCTCACTTTACGAACTTTGCCATCATTTTCAATCTCCTCTTCTCTACTTTGGTCCTTCTTAACAAGAGAGTTGGCTTTCTGTTTATCAGTCAACTTTTACATTAAATTATTAATTGTTATAAGGGGCTCATATATTTGAAATATCAAGCTAATTGAATCAATTTCAATAAAATGAATACCAACTAGTTCTGAATTTATTATAATTTAATCCTATCCATTGTTTTGAATTTGTTCATTTAAAATTTCCATATATTCGGTTTCTAAATTCAAAGCTGATAGGTTCAACATTAAATTTAATTTTTTTACGTATAGAATCATCATTAACCATCTGCATAATGCATTCTTCGATATTTAATATTGTTTTTAAGAACATTGTATTTTGCTTTACAAATTTTGTTAAGTTACACTACAATATCAATACATTCTAATTTATGATTAGATAATAAACTTGATTATTAAAACTAATAGCTCATAATAACTTCATATTTAATACTTCATAGCTTGAAATCAAATCTATATCTAGAAATTCATGAAGGTAATACAATAATTTTATGAAAAATTTGAAATTTATCAACTCTTTTTGTAAATCTTACATTTATAAATTGTAGATAAAATATTGACTTCTCATCATCTTATTAGAAATATGTTAACTCAATATTAATTAGTTGAAGCGTGTTTACAAATCTAAATGAATGGTGCTAAACAAATATTGAATCAACTTTTTTTTCCAACGAAACTCTTTCTGAGATTCAAGAATCTAAAATTGATTTTAGCACCATCCACGCTGAATACCAATATGTTATAATGATAGCATGGATAATTTTAAACCTATAAAATTTAGGATACATTTGATTACAAATATTGATTAATCTCTTCATACTAAAGGACGGAGAAAATAACTACATTGATTCATTTTAGGATGATTATTAAATTTATGAAATTCCAAATTAAATCTAATTTGTAGCAATTATTTTTAATAAATCATAAAATAATCATCATTTTGGAACTGAAATAAAATATAAAAACTATCTTTAATATAGTATAAATTTAATAAATATATCAAAATCATGGAGAATTGTTATTTATGGTTATGATTATTAATATTAAGAAGGAATATAAGAATAAGATATATCTTGGAATTAATAATATGAGTCAACTTTTTGCCTGATTTAGTAATGAATATTTTAAATTGGGTTTAATTTTGCAATATAACTAATTTAACTAAATTCTTGATATAAATGAAATTTATAATAAAATTAATGAAAAAAAGCCAAGTGATAAGGCCTAACTCCAATCATAAAAATGATATAAAGAATAATCAAATCTACATTCCGAAGGTCTCAAGCATGATAATTTCTGAAAAAATAATGTAGAATCTACTTCGAACGACTTCTGGTAATCCACTACCAAAAAATCCACCTAACTAAAATCCGAGTCCCGCGAAAAAGAACTACATATAAAGTCCCATTAAGAATTAAAAGAATGTTTAACATTCGAATTCTCTCAATAGTTAGAATAATTATGTCGTCACCAATTCAATCAGATATTACAACCCTTCAACTAAGTCCTATTTATCCAATAGTTTTTCGAAAATTCCTACAAAGAGTGGGCAAAGAGTGTGCTCAATCATAACAAAAACAATGAACCTATCTTCATTAATAAAATATGACTAAAATTCTATCCCTTTACATAAACTGATATCCAAAATGAAAAAGCAAAGTAAGGATAAAAGATCGATATCTTAATTGCCTACTATGTCAACGGAAAGAGTAGTTCAAGATTCAGAGAGATAATAACAAAAAAGGAAAAAATCAGTTCGATTTCATGATAAAGTAGAATACCTTGTGATTGGGTGTTCGAAAGGAATTGAAGAATACAAGTATAAGTTCTTTGAACCTCTGGATTAAGAATCTGTACATTCGTGATGTGTTTTCTAATTACATATTTAATTAATTTGTATATATAAAAATATTAAATTGATAATATAGTTTAAATTAAACTTCAAAATAATATAAGTAATTTTATATTACTAAAGGTTTGTATGGAAATGTTTTGGATTCAATTAATGAGACAGGGTTTAATAAATAATAATCTAATTAGATAATGGATAAAAACAACCCAAACATAAAAGAATATATATTATCCTAATTAGGAGAGGATCCATCCGAGGAGGCCATCAAATAGGTTGCTGAAAAAACTTAAGTGTTGCCAATACTGATCAAACAATGGTTGCACTTTTATAAAAGGAATAATTAATCACAAAATGGCTTAGATCTACAACCACAAAAGCTTGAAAGTGTTCCAAAATTTAATGGAAAATTTGAGCAATATTACGATGTTGAAGACCCTAATTATGAACTTAAACAAAAGAAATAGTTTATATCAGACAATCATTAGAAGTACACATCTTAAGAAGACAAAACAATAGAAAAGTAATTGAAAGAAGTGGAGAAAGAGATAAAAAAGAGAAAAAAATTGCTGAAAACAGACAAGAAATAAGCAGATCCATATTTCAATGAACTTTATGTGTCAGATGAGATAAATTAAGATTTCAAAATCAATGATAATAAGCAATTTAACTTAAAGGAATAATATATAAATGTGCCCATCTATTACATGATCAAACTAGAGGAGAGTCTCATGGAACAAGCCATTAATATCCATTAAAAAATAGTAAAAATCATAGAGGCAAAATATGATTATCTTAATTTATTATGAGTTTCTAATAATTATATAAAAATGAATTCTCCCTACAATGAATAGAAAATGAAATAAGCATCCACCTAGTTCTCATTCAAGCCTACGGTCTTACCTCAAGTTATGTCAACTTGCAGATTGGCTCGCTTTCCGATGGATGGAAAACTTGGAGAATCCTTTCAAGAATCAAACAAAAAATAAAGCAAATGGTATTTCAGAATTCAAACATAAGCAGAGAAACAAGAAAAGGTTGAAAAAGACAAAGTCATTGAAGTACACTTATCTGTTATTAATCTCATAAGGATGTTTATATTTAGATGCAAAATAATCAGGAAGAGATCTGTGAAGATATGAAATAAAAAGACTTGGTTGGCCCAGATTCAGTTAAGAATTATTACCAAACCTATAAAAAAATAAATAGGATCAAGGAGTAGAATAATCTCTTTGCGATTTAGAGTAAGATAAGATCCAAATTAAATTAGACTCTGTCCAAACCAATCTCATAATCAAATCAGAGCAATTAAGATTATTGCCTTGCAAGATGGGACTAATCAAATAGAAGGGAGAGTCTAAAGTATTGAGTATAGAAAATCACAAATATGGTGATAAATATGTTGAAGTACTGTCTGAAGGTTTAAGAACTCTCCCTGTAGTTTAAGATTTCAATTTCAATTCCAACAGAATCAAGGAAAATGGAGCTTCATTGATTTTGCCTTTAATTTCCAAATAAGCGAGGTCTATTGAAATGGTTTCGAATATAATTGGAAAAAAAGGATTGGAACCAGTTTTAAATGTACTCCCATCTCAGACTTGCAAGTATCTATATCTTAATGAATTCTAAGAATCCAAGTCTTGAATTTAGAAGACAATCAGTTGGGCGATATCTTAGCTCAGGAGCTCTTTAAGGCTTTATAAAAAAATAATACTGTTAAATTACTTAATTTATCTAAAAATCAAATCACTAATGTTTCTCACACTTTCATTAAATAAATGATTGAGACTAATGACTCTTTGGAGGAGTTGTATCTTCATTGGAATTTACTCAAAGGGAGTGGTGGAGCTGAAGTTTTTAAAGCATTGATTACTAATAAGAACATCAAAGTTTTAGATTTGTCTTATAATTTATTAGGATGTGGTGGTTCAAATTTAACTCCTGTTCTAAAATAATTTTTTGAAGACAATAAAGAAATGATTCATTTAGATTTATCAGCAAATTAATTCAGTTTAGCGGACAGTCAATCAATTTCAGAATCTTTAAAGGAAAATCACACAATCTATGGTTTTCACTTTTCTGGCAATTTTGGATATGTAGATTCAAAAGGATTCTTGATTATTTAGAATGAAATGAGGAACTTCAATTAAATTCATACGGATTATAGAATTAGAGGATGTGAAACTCACAGTAAGCCATACTCAAAAGGTCCAAGATCAGAAAAAGTAATGGATGTTTGTTGGATCTGTGATGGTTGGTAGGGCTAGAAGTTTGAATGGATTCCAAGTAATATTAATTATTAATATTAATTTTAGACAAGAGTGGAAATGCATCAGAAGAACCGATATTCATTCATTTTGATTTTGAGGGATATGAAGCTATTTTTTTAGGGAAACCAGATGAGAATGGTATTTACTCAACAAATCGAATGGTACCAACAGGAGAATTAGATTATTTTTATACTGGATCTCAATTGCAAGTGGCAAGTCTGACTGAACCATAAAAAGTTCACAATGAAAAATTTAGAGTGAGGACTAAAATCGCAGATTAAATAATAGATGTGTTATTGGATGAAACAAATCATCAAAAGATAAATAAAGGGAAACCTGTAATATCGGATTGGGATCCAAATTATAATGTAAAGCCAAGAACTGGTGATCCAATTTATATCCCTGCTAAAATGAAAAAATAGAAGCGAGTATGGTCATATCCAATTTCAATATGGGCACCTAAATACAAATTTGATACTGAAGATCTATTACGTAAATGTTTTGAGAGAGATTGGAATTGTTCAAAGATCACAAAATTTGTTAAGAAAACTGAAGAATAGGAATAAATCAAAGAAATGTTATGGCAAAATTATAAATCAATAANTAATTGGAAAAAAAGGATTGGAACCAGTTTTAAATGTACTCCCATCTCAGACTTGCAAGTATCTATATCTTAATGAATTCTAAGAATCCAAGTCTTGAATTTAGAAGACAATCAGTTGGGCGATATCTTAGCTCAGGAGCTCTTTAAGGCTTTATAAAAAAATAATACTGTTAAATTACTTAATTTATCTAAAAATCAAATCACTAATGTTTCTCACACTTTCATTAAATAAATGATTGAGACTAATGACTCTTTGGAGGAGTTGTATCTTCATTGGAATTTACTCAAAGGGAGTGGTGGAGCTGAAGTTTTTAAAGCATTGATTACTAATAAGAACATCAAAGTTTTAGATTTGTCTTATAATTTATTAGGATGTGGTGGTTCAAATTTAACTCCTGTTCTAAAATAATTTTTTGAAGACAATAAAGAAATGATTCATTTAGATTTATCAGCAAATTAATTCAGTTTAGCGGACAGTCAATCAATTTCAGAATCTTTAAAGGAAAATCACACAATCTATGGTTTTCACTTTTCTGGCAATTTTGGATATGTAGATTCAAAAGGATTCTTGATTATTTAGAATGAAATGAGGAACTTCAATTAAATTCATACGGATTATAGAATTAGAGGATGTGAAACTCACAGTAAGCCATACTCAAAAGGTCCAAGATCAGAAAAAGTAATGGATGTTTGTTGGATCTGTGATGGTTGGTAGGGCTAGAAGTTTGAATGGATTCCAAGTAATATTAATTATTAATATTAATTTTAGACAAGAGTGGAAATGCATCAGAAGAACCGATATTCATTCATTTTGATTTTGAGGGATATGAAGCTATTTTTTTAGGGAAACCAGATGAGAATGGTATTTACTCAACAAATCGAATGGTACCAACAGGAGAATTAGATTATTTTTATACTGGATCTCAATTGCAAGTGGCAAGTCTGACTGAACCATAAAAAGTTCACAATGAAAAATTTAGAGTGAGGACTAAAATCGCAGATTAAATAATAGATGTGTTATTGGATGAAACAAATCATCAAAAGATAAATAAAGGGAAACCTGTAATATCGGATTGGGATCCAAATTATAATGTAAAGCCAAGAACTGGTGATCCAATTTATATCCCTGCTAAAATGAAAAAATAGAAGCGAGTATGGTCATATCCAATTTCAATATGGGCACCTAAATACAAATTTGATACTGAAGATCTATTACGTAAATGTTTTGAGAGAGATTGGAATTGTTCAAAGATCACAAAATTTGTTAAGAAAACTGAAGAATAGGAATAAATCAAAGAAATGTTATGGCAAAATTATAAATCAATAAGAGAGACCTATAGATATTATTCAGCCATAAATCCAAGTGGTGATGTATTCTCTATGTCTCAAAATCCAACTTCTGAATTTGTGAATTAATGTTAATTAATAGATGGCAAATAGATGAAGTTGGCTGATGTTGATTTAAAATTTATTGCAACTTGTAGTGCTTCATAATCAGATTGGAAGGGCAATTTTAGAAATCCTGAGAGATATTTAGTCAGATATTAGATGATGGAATTTTTAGTGAGATTATCAGAGGATAAATACATTAGAAATCAACCTGGTTCTCCATCATATGTTTAAGCCACAAGAATGATATTAGATTAATGTCTACCTCATATGTCTTAATTCGATTCTCATAAATGGAGAATGGAAAGGTACTTTATAGAATAATGTGATGATGTATGTAAGAAATACAAACAAGTAATTGATTATGTGTACATGCATAATTCATAGAAAAAGGTGAAACCGGGATAAGCACCATTCATGTGTTTAGATGAATTGAAAGATGTATGCAATAAGGCCAGTCTGTTTGATGAAAATTTTGTTGAAAGAGATGTTAATTTAGCATTTTGCTTATCTATGTTAACTTAAGTTGATGAATTAGAAAGTGATAGACTATTTTAGATGTAATGGATAGAATTCATGGAAGCATTGGCGAGAATAGCTGATAAATACTCTCCAATTGGAGTTGGGAAGCAAAGTGAAGTATTCAGTTAATATAATCATATTTAGAAAGAATGGACCTATGAATAAAGGTTTGCACAGCCTCTGTATTATAAACTAGAAGCTTTTATGGTTCATTTGATTCATACTTCAGTCGATGAAGAAACTAAAAAAAACTGGAAGATACCTACGGTTTCGATGTTCGATGTTATTGAGGATGATGATTAATGATAATATTATATACTTATATTTAACTGAATTGAGTTACAACTAACTGGTGCGATGACTAATAAAATAATATAAATTAAAGATTTAGTGACAAATATTGTTAATGGCTAATTTTCAAGAGTTCCTTAGTGGCTTAGGCTAAATCAAATAGATGGAGATTCCTTTTTACTATAGGAATTAGTTTAAGATCAAGGAAAACTTCATAAATCCTAATAGCAAACATTTCGATCAAATTGCTTAAAAGTAAATCATAATATTTATAAGACTCCTATCAGAAGATAATAAAGGGTTGAAAAGGAAGTGGGATAAACAATGCAAGATGTTATTTATCTGGGTTATTGTCAAATACTTCTAAGTGAGAAATAAAAAAACCATCAATCCAAATTCAGATGAGTGGTTAGAATTGTCAGGAATATTCAATTTTGATGAGGTGACTCTGAAACAACGATGGATTACTCTAATAAACCCTATGGCTAAAAGTTTGAATTGGGAATCAGAAGAAGATGATATAATAAGATCATTGATGATGTATATTATTAAACTTTAATTTCTTCATTTTAGACAATAAGAGGAAAAACACATCTGGACCTAAATTGCCCTGGAGCTATATAATCATAACAATGGATAGTATGTTAGAACACCAAAACAAGTCAGAGAAAGATGGATGAATTATTTAAATCCTAAATTAAATAAGTAAACCCTATTTTTAGCAATTTAAATTAGATCTAGTTGGACTGATTAAGAAGACAATTAATTATTGCAATTGGTAGTCAATAGCGGCAAGAGATGGTCCTTGATTTCCTCATTATTGCAAGGGAGAACTGAAAATTAAGTGAAGAATAGGTATCAAATTTCTACACTACTTAAATTAGATATAAGAGTCTCATTCATAAGATTTTCAAAGAAGAAGACGATGATGACATTGAAGAAATATCAGCCATTAGATAATATTTAGCTAAATAGATTTATACTGCTATTAACTAAGAGAACAACCCATCACATTCAGTAAAAAATGAAGCCAAAATAAAATGCGAAGAGTCTTAATCTAATAGTATTAATATATAAAAACAAAAAAAAAAATAATAACTCAAATATTAAGATGAATAGGATTAGTAGATCTAAATCAAAAAGAAAAAAATTAAGGTTATTGAGAATCTCCATGTAAAACAAGAAATCGATTAAAAATTATCATCCTAATCACTCAATCAATAATTTTGTCTATCTACAAATGGAAATTGTGATACTCAAAGTTAAGAGAATAGAAAAGGTGTATCCAGTTCTCATTCCTAAGGCTCAATATAAAATCAGGAATTTGAATGCAAATCTTAACAATTCCTCTAATCCTAATCTAAATGCTAACTTTAATCCCCTTCCTACATTGGATAAACTTAAGTGAAAGAAACAATACCTTAATACACTGGGTTCAGGCCCTACACAAATGATGCTTGTAATGATCTATTCTAATAAACACCTTCTTAAATTAATAGACTAGGATTTGGTCTCAAATAAAACCCATATTCTTTCTAATAGTTATCACCATTTCAATAATAGATTTAGTAAACGCCAATCGTATATACTCCGCTATACTTATACAATTCACAATTCATTGCACAATCTCCATACAAGAGTCCAATTTTATCACCACATATATGGATGTAATAATAATAGTAAATTCAATAATAGTATGAGATTGAAATTCAGAATGAATAGTTAAAATAGGAATAATTTGTAAATATATATGTGTTTATCAATTAGAATAATAAGTTAGAGTTTCTTTAAGGGTAAGATTTGGTTTCTAAATGGAAGAATAAAAGAGTGTAGGAGAAACAGAATTAGTAAGAGCTAAATAAGATTATAGATCAATGAAGATTGTTTATATCAACATATTCTATAACACTATCTTGTTTTTCAGTACTAATCTAAGAATATCACAATGTGCTTAAATTCTTTTTTGTATTTTATGAAATAATAACATTGACTTTTATTAAGTAATTGATCATAAATGATTACTGTCTGGTCTTTAATATTATTAATTCTTTCAAATTCATAAAACACAAGCAAATGTATTTTTGCATTAATTTTATCTTTTTTTAATATTAATTTCATGATACCTTCAGAAAATGAAGATTAGTTCTCTCCTAATTCTCAGTTAATTATTTTATTTATATTACAGACATAAACAACAGTAAAACGACTCTAATCAAAAGTAAAAAGATTCCTATAAAAAATATGCAGTTATTGACTAATCGAAAAGAGTGTTATTGTTAAAAAAGATTTTATCAAAAGAATCTACAATTAAAGAAGCAGCAAAAGAATTTGGAGTTAATTTTAGTACAGCTAAAGCAATTTTGCAGACTTATAGAAAGGAAGGCCGGATTGGTAAGAAGAAAACAAGAGAGAGAAACAAAAAAGAGAAAAGTGAGCCGGAATTCAGTGTCTGCAGTTAAAGAAAAGTATAATCCATGTACGATCTTGAACGAGAAGTTTAGATTCCCCAAAGAAGCTTTTCTCCTGATTTAAAAGTATTAAATTTCATCTCAAGTAGGCATCTGACAAACATATTACAAAGAGTATCTTATAATAGCAATCCTTATTGCTGAATAGATAAAAAAATTAGCCACAACAAATTAATAGCAATGAAGAACAAAATGCTTAAATTGCATTGGCTGTCTGTCAAAGAGAATTAGAAAAATAAAAATTAGTTAATATGCAATTGGCATTAATGATATAAGTAATCAAACCTATTTAAAACCGTAGAATTATTAAATCTGTGGATTTCAGGCCAAAGTGCCAGAAGTAAAAGAAGAAGATGATAAAATTAACTGAGTTTGTCATCAAAATTCTGAATTATTGTTATTACAATTAATAATTTTTATTCATAACACATATATATCAAGGAAATGAAGAAATAATAGCTTCTAGTAAATGTTAATGAGATGGATTTAATTTTAGATAAAACCTCAACTCAAGGAGCACTATGGCTGGGAAATCTAAAAGCAGCTCAAAATATTAAATAATTAAAAGAAAATAACATCCAAACAGTCATAACAGTGGCAAATAATATTATAGTAAATTTTAAAAACTCTCTAAACATCTCTCACAAAGTAAAACTTATTATGAAGTCAGATTTATAGAGTTGAAGATACAGAAAAAGCACAAATAATAGAATATTTCGATGAAATAATCAAAGAAATATCGATTGGCTTGAACTCTGGTTCCGTTTTGGTACATTGTGCTGCAGGCATTTCAAGGTCGAGTGCATGCGTGATTGCTTATCTCATGAAAACTAATAAATGGCCATACGAAAAAACCTTTTATTTTGTGAAAGAGAAGAGATTAGCTATCAATCCAAATCCTGGCTTCAAGAAATAACTTATACAGTATAGTAAGAATCTGTAATCAAACACTTAACAATTAAATCTCGACCTCAAGGAATCTAAAGATTCAAAGGATATGAATCCCTTCGCTTTAGGTTATTCGAATTCTTGGGGAAAACTGAAAAAGAAAAATTTTTCAAACCCTCATGAATTGGTGAATTAACTCTCTTAAAATTTAGTTAAATCTCCACTTAAAAAAATCGATCAATTAAATCATACATCAACATCTGAGGAAAGATAGATCTATCGTCAATTATTAGCAAAAAAACTATTTGTTAATACATTTTCAACTAAAAACTCTGTTTCAATCGCAAATTATCAAACTGAACAGTCTGTTGAACAAAAGAAAACAACTACTGAAAAATAACCTATAAGAATTAAAGCTCTTTTAAGTATGTACAAGAGAATTGAATTTAACATCTTAGAATCGGAAAGAACAAAAACTTGATAATTTACTATAATAACTCAACATCAAATATTTCATTCATCCATTTCTAATTTGAAAGTCTAATTCCTATAAGTAAACAGTATTTTTTATTTTATAAATAATTTTCAAGCGTATTAATGTTATAAATTAATTCTACATATAGAGAGATAGCAAAAGTCTTGATAAAAAATGTAAATAGTTAAGAAAAACAATTAGAATAAATTCATTTTTCCTCTTTAGCATCAATCTGTTCTAATTTCTACTTCTACTCTAATTATTAGTTAAAGCCTTCAACTTATACTACTAGCTATTGTTTATGAATTAGGCAATACTTTCAGTATTGTATCGTTCAATTTATTCATATCTTCTAAGGAAGTTTGAACATTGTTTTCTAATTCATTGATTCTAGTTTGATATGATTGAGCACGAGTTGCAAAGGTATCTTATTTATTCTAATACTGCTCTGGTAGATTGTTATTTTATTTATCTTCTAAATCTGGAATAGGAAAAGTAGAATTTCGACAACATTACTAACCCATGTTAATTATTTTTATTAATTTTAGTCAATTATTGATGCATAATGATAAGAAGATAAAAGAAATCAAGGATGGTTTACGCAATTTTCAAATAAAACCAATAACGATAATAAAGGGGACATCTGGAATTGGAAAGTGATTTAGATGTTATAAGCTTAGGTTGCATTTGGCCAAGTAAATTTTAGCAGAATTCAAGTACAAAATTTTGGAGGTAGATTCAGCATTCAGAGACATTTGGATGTTAAATGAAGTGCACCCTCTAATGTATTCTATGTAAGATTAACTATCAAAAATTGATGATTAAAGAGGTATAGGTTTTTGTAATGGTGTTAGTCATAATTTTAAAAGAAATTAGTGGGATTAGTAATTTGAATTCATTAAGACAATTGTAATAATAATACACTTACACAAAATGCAATAAGCCATTAGTAATAATTGTAAATACAACAGTATTAAAAGATTATGAATTGACTAAAATTTTAAGTTAAGAATTTATTAAAATATATTGCAATATTGTGTGGTTGAAAAGTCCAACCAACAACAAGATTGAAAAGTATTTGCACTCTTGTTTTCCAAGAGTTAGTTCAAATGTGCTTCATTAAGTAAATATGATATGTTGACTAAGATAGCAGAACTATCGAATGGCGATATTAGAAATGCGTACAATTAAGCATTTATATACTCAATAAACTACAGAGATGAGAACTAAAGCAAAGATTCTTAATTAACATTTTTTAATACTGTGGGTAGAGTACTATATAACAAAAGATTGGATTATTATAATACTCCAAAACAATTAACATATGAAGAAATGATATCTAAACCTGAACCCAAATATTACTTCGATCCTTTTTAGTTGTTGGAAACCATACAAGTGACCTAATAGACATATAGAGGGTATAAAGCCTAATGTTTAAATGTAGGTTTTTGTTTATCAACTCATTGAAATTCTTGCATGACTTAAATGAAATGAAATAGTTTTATGAGATTCAGAGTGAGGCTGATGTAATTGAAAAAGGATTGTGCAGATTCGATAGAGTTAATATGCATATTATCTTTAGTATTAAGGAGACATCTTTAATAATCAATTTTTAGTTAGTATGTTTGTGACTTTGGGTTACATGTAGACTAACAAGCACGTCAAACCTGCTAAATCCATGATGCTTACACTGAATGGTCCATAAGATTATTAATTTAGACAGGAGAGATTGCTAAAGCAAAATGAGATGAAGCAATTAAAACCATTTAAAAGTTATTAAAAAGAATTAGTATTAAGTATCTTATACGGAAAACGAGTTCAATTGCTCAATTCCAAAAATAACTTCATATCGTAAATCTCAATTGAGGATGATCAATATGACTAACATTGGTTTGAAGAGGATTAGCAGGAACAACAGCAAACTTCCAATAAAAGATTAAGTTCAAAGAATATAAGAGTTAAAAGAAATTAAGCGGAACTGATTTCTAGAAATAGAAATTAGAGGTTGATTGAAGTGTGTAATGAATTATTAAATTGATTATTAAACATAAATTTAGCAATTTCATGCAACATCATCATTAAAGAAGAGCGATCACTTTGTTTTTTTGTCCTTAATCTTAAACATTCAAAATAATGTTTTCTATAATTGCTTTGTATTGTTGATTTTGAATCAAACCCTTTACGGTTGTCACAACGAAGTTTAATTATTCTTCCTTAAGCTATTTCTATAGATATATTTGATACCTTATAATGCTCCTTTTAGATGAGGGAATCTAATAACAGTTTTATCACTTATTCCATCCTTGGAGTAACAAGATCAGGAATAGTATTACCTAAGTTGACTAGGAATCTTAATCCGGTGAAATTCTCTTCAACATCTCCTTTGAATGGTAATTATGCCAAGATGTGATCAAGAGTGGTTTCCAAAGGCAAGGCTTATGGGAATCTAATAAGAATTCTGCAAACAGCGGCAGTAGCATTTTCGGCAGCTTCTCTGTATGTAGTTGCAGTGGTAAAGATATTTGTAAGTGTTTAGATAATCTAAGGGAGGGCTGAAGCAACATCATTTTATGGTCCAAATTCGCAATATGTAGCCAAAGCATAAGCGGCATTTCTATTTAATTCTTGATCTCCAATGGCAAGGACAGTGTTCAACAAGAATGGTAACACAACCTATTGGCATTCAACAATAAGACTTGGTTCGTATTCGAAGATTTGAGCAAGACATCCAATTGTGCAAATGATATCATCAATTTCTTTATCTTTATGGAGATTGATTGCCAAATGAGGGAAGATCTCTCTGAACACAAGAACAAATCCATTTTTCAGATTCTTAGCTAATGTAGGGATTAAATCAGTGAGATTTTCTAGAACATTAAGATTCATATCTGAATCATTCTCTTCTTCACCTTCTGAGTCAAGATCAGCTCCTAAACACTTGATTTTCTTGTTCAATACTAAAGTAATAACTTTGGCTAAATCATCAAGATTCTTGTAGACAATTTAAGGACCTAATTTCTTGGTTAGATGATCAATGACATCTATGGCAAGAGCAGCACATTCATAGGATTCATCTTCAGCAATGACTCTGATCAATTTTTACATGACATCTGTTTACAAGAATGTTAAGAATTCAGCATCTAAATTTTCAATGGCTGGTAGTCCTTACTACACTTTTGGTAATACTCCATTATGTCTGAATAAAGCATATCCTTCAATTAAGTCTCTGTAACATTGAAGAGTTTACATTCTGATGTTGTCATAGAAGAAATCAACAGTTTCATCTAAGATATCAAAAGTGGGTTTGAAGTATTGTCCAAATTATTATGGAACTGAAAGTGCAAATTAACCTAAGGCATGGATAGCAGCAGCTTTCTCATCCATTTAGGTGACTTTGACTCTCATAGGTCCTTGTTGATTTTCATCTTCAGAATCAGTATCTAAGGAGAATTCTTTCTTCTCTTTGTCATAAGAGATTCCTTCTTTGGATTCTGCCAACTTCATAGTGTAACTGATGATTTAAGTGAAGATGGGAGCAAACTTCTCACCTTAAGCTGCAGCCATATTATAAAAGAAGGCTAAGCAGGCTTCCCTGATTTCAAAATCTTCATGTTTAGTTAATAATTCGAATATTTATGGAGCCAATGGAGTTATCAATTGATTTTACACTTCTAAATTGGATTTGAATGATTCAGCAATAGTTCCGAATACTTGAATTGCCTCTGATTTAATACTCATTATTTCAGGAGTATCCTTTTCCTTCAATACTTGTAATAGCAATTCACTGACATCCTTCAAATATGTTGCGAAAGCTTCTTTGGATGAAACGATAATGCTTCCGATTGAGGATAAACAATGTCTTCTGGCAATGAATGTAGTTGTTTATTGTAAGAACAATTGAACCAAACTAGGCAAGAGTGCTTACATGTAAGGAAGTATCTTCTCTGATTCCATATTCTCAGCAAAGATGTCAATTGTCAATAATGCCTTTTCATAAATCTTGTGATCTTAAGATTTAAGACAATTAATCATTTCTGGAATTACAATCTAATCATAAGTCAAGATTTCTGGGCATAACCATTCACTGAAATAAGATAAGCACTTAATTGCTGCTCCTCTTACAGCTGTCCTTTCGTCTTTCAATCCTTTGGGAATAATGACATTCATTATTGGATTTTGTAATTATCTTCTAATTTGATCTTAGAGTCCTTCTGTAATAGCTGCCAATATCAAGAATCCTGCATTCATTTAGTTTATATCTCCTGAGTCTACCAATTTTATGATTGTTTCCAAAAATAAGCCAAAGAGAGTCTTCTTCTTACCTAAGCCAATCACTAAGGTTTCCAAGAGCCATAAGGTTACATCTTAAAGTGGTTCTTCATCTTGAGTCAATTCCTCCTCTGTGTATGGTTGTGCAACGACTAAGGATAAACATTCGATAAGTTATTTTAATAATGTTGGGTTCTTATTCAATACCTTCTTGTGATACTCTACAACATTGTCAATCAAATCCAATACACATTCCTTAAATTTACTACTGCATTTTGGATTCAACAAAAGCTAATTAATTAAGTATGTATTATTACATTTTAACTTGCAGCATATTCTACAATCATACCCAAATGAGTATCTAAAATTGTTAATTTGCTTTCAGCCAAATATCCAAAAGCGTCAAAGCAATGATAAGCATTATCTTCATCTCCTTCTTTTATACATTAATCTACGAATCTTAAGATTGGTTCAACCAAAGTCTTGTATTATTAAGCCTAATTGTATAGATTACTTAAATTACTTCCTATTTGTTCATGTGTTCAATGTTATCAAACAAGGAAATCAAACACTTGACTGTTTGTACTCTGATTTATTTGTCACTATCTTGGAGATTTTCAATGAAGAATGGATAAAACACAGAGTAGAATGGTTTCAAACTATCTCCAGAGTAATCAAATATTAAAGCTAATAACATTAAACCTCTTTATCTAGTGACAATGTCTTAGTTCTTTGCTGTTTAATTTTATAGAACTTAAAATAGCTCTGGCCATTTATTGTCTCCCAATGTTTAAATTGCAATAGTTCCTATCAATGATCCAATACTTGTTCTGATTGGATTGATTGGTTCTGCAAAGAATCTCTCCAATAACAATTGTTTTAATTGAGTTTAAGCTGTAGCATCCAATTTATCATAATTCGCAGCCATGTTTCTTTTTAATAAGACACCTGCCAAGTGTCTGAATGATTACTACTCTATTAAATTATAATCTCATACATTCTCATTTTGAGATATTATTAATGCCAATGGTCCTACGCAATTCACAGACTTAGTGTATACTTTTAAAACACGTGTAGCCTCTTTAATCTTTTCGTTATCACCAGAGAGGACGAAGGTAAGCATCTAAAACAATTACTCTTGTGTCAAGTTTGAAAATTCAGCCATAAAAAATCACAAATTAAAAATTTTTTACTTTTTATGTAAAATTTATCATAAATTAAATACACCCGCAAAATTATACTCAGATTATTACAAATTATTTCTTTTTTATTTTTATTGTGTTCTTACTAATTTTGTTTTCTACCTTCTTACCGCTTTCTTCCTTTTACTTTGGTTCTTCACTCTCATTTTGTTTCTCCTACTTCTTTACAATCTGATCCTTTTTCAATTTCTTTACAAAAGGCTATTAAAATTTTGCTCTTCTATCAATGTCATCAAATCCCAATCCCTGTCTTCTCTAAGTATATTGAATCATCATTTAAATATCGCTCAAATCTGTGTATTCTCTTTCATTTGTTTATTGCTATTTTTTTGGTTTCTTCTTAAATAATTCATTTAGTATTTCCATTTCTTAATTATAATAATAATATTTTGTATTTAAAATTTAATTTATTAACTTAAACCAGAGCCTATCCAATTTTAAATAAACATTAAGCATAATTGCGTATATTTTATTACTAAACATGTATTAATAAAATTTAGTTCAATCTACATAGATATTGTTCAATTTAAATCTGATCAATTTTATTATGAACTTTTGTTGAATCCATATTTAAAAGTAGAAATTCCACTTTTCAAATTATTGCTTGTAAATTTAGGAGCAACCGGCTTCTCAATTTGAAATTTTAGTGGCAATTAAAATCTAAACATTAGAAACTTAATTTTTTAATGGGATTTCCTATTTTCTTAATCTCATGCAATTAATCTGGCTCCATGTTATTATTATTCTATTTGGGTCTTATAATAATATATTTTATTCACTTGAAGGTTTCTTAATATGAAACTTATTTTACTTATCAAATTGACATTTATTTTGTTAATATTGATTGAAACTCGAGAATCAATCAAAATAAATAGTTAATCTTCAAAATCTGGAATTTTATTATAAAAATAATTTCCCTTAAAATTGAGTTCTAATTTTATATTTCATTAATATTTATGATTATACAACCTTAGAGTTCTGGTTCAATTAATATATCAGGTGATAGTCATTAAAATGGACTTGATAATTATGTGACAGAGTTGAATAATTAAAATTTGATGTAGGTAAGACGACCTAATGAAGATCAAATTCTAGCATTCATTGATTATTAAGCGCTTAAAGTTGATAGAGTTAAATAACATAAGACAGTTCCTGATTAAGTTAAAGATGATAAAAGTATTCGAAGCAAATCATCGCGTTAGATTCGTAGGAACAGTGCTGATTAATCTGAAGACTCCCCTTTAAAGTAATCACTTAGGGATGAATTAATTCCATTTGATAGTCCTAATTTAGAGCTGAAAAAATTGGGGGATACTGAAGAACACAGAAAAAGTAAGACTGTAATTAGTCCAGTCGTTTAATCATCCAAATCTCCAAAAAGAAAGACTAAGCATTTTTCAAAGATTTTCTCAAAAATTACAAATAGAATGCATTTGGCAAGAAAATTTATATAAAAAATGAAGTAGTTATCTCCATTTTCCAGGAAGGTAAACAAATAACAAATGCAAATAATTTAAGACTTAAGTTCTGATATTAATAATCCAAACGAGAAATATATAAATTAGAGTTATATAAAGATGCATGATTCTGTAAAATCAAAGAAAAAACTACGAAGAATGAATAGTCTTTAAGCATTTATAGCATTAAAGTCGTACTTTAATGTGTGTAAATTATAAGTGTTTCTAAGTAAAATTAAAAATGATACAATTGATCCTCAAGGAAATTTTCTTTTCTTTTGGGAATTAGTGAAATTTTTTATAACGCTGTCTTCTCTATTTTAATTGTCAATACAAATTTGTTTTAATTTGAATGTGTTAAATTGGTACTTTGTGGCAGAAAAGGAAAATTCATAAAACATATTAATATTTATGTTTATATATTATTTGATAGATATATTTTTAGGATTTAGGACAGGATATTACGAAAATGGTGAAGTTGTAATAAAATACTAAAGAGTAGCAAGGAGATATTTCAAGACTTATTTTTTTGTAGACCTGATATCGATCTTGCCAATTTTCATTAATATAATATTGATTCAAACATTTGAGAATGACAATGCTATAATTAAGATAGTGAATTGTTTATCATTTTTAAGATCTAATGCTTTAAGCAGAGTCTATCATTCTTTGGAGGGCAGATTATTGAGTAATCCTCGATTTGTTATAGGATATAGATTCTTAAGTGTAATAGGAACAGTATTTTTGTATGCACATGTATTTGGATGTCTTTGGTATCTAGTGGCTTAGAAAAACCATAATAATTGGATAAATAAAGCAGGAATAGTGGAGGATTCTTGGTTTGCTCTTTATAGTTATTCAATCTATTGGTCAGTAATGACTATGACTACAGTGGGATATGGAGATTTAACACCAGCAAATCATGAAGAAGCATTATTTTGTGTTTGTACTATGTTCATTGCAAGTGTAGTGTTTGCATATTCAATAAATACTATAGGCATGATTATTGCTGAAATGAACAAGTTTGATGAGAAGATAAATGAGAATATGGCTATAATTAACAGATATATGTAGCGAAAGAATTTTGAATAATCTTTATAATTTAGAGTGAGATAATATTTATAAAATTTATGGACTTAAGAGGATAAATTTAGAATTGTTGATGAAAATAAGATTATCAATTGTTTGAGTCCAACTTTAAAAGAGGAAATTTAAATATGTTTGTATGGTTAATTTATAACTAATATTCACATTTTTTATAGATATTTTAGTTAGGAATGCTTATTGGAGTTAACTAAGAACGTTTAAGAATATAGAGTGGCACCAAATTCATATGTAATTGAGAATGGTACTCATGAAGGGGTAGCTTTGTATTAATTAGTAAGTGGAGATGCTCAAATGTTTGTTGATTTGTAGGACAGAAAATATCACATAGGTAAAATGAAGCAAGGAGATATATTTGGTCATGGGCCATTTTTTATGAATACATTGCATTCTTATAGTGTGAAAACTGATAGTGCTTGTTCTTTTGCCTATTTATCTAAGTAGATGTTTTTAGACATTCTTCAATCTCATCCAGTTGATTATGTAAATGATTAAATATATTTAGCAAACATATAGGATGATAATAGACCAGTGGACATTCTAGAATCATAAGTTAGATTTAGGAGTCAAATGCATTGGATGTGGGGAGAGTGAGCATGATATTGATCAATGTAGCAAATTACATCTAATTCTAAACAAGAAAATGATATTAGCAAAGCATTTATTTTCTATTCCCAATAAAAGATCTTTATTCTAAAGAAATAATAGAAGGACTACTAATGCTAAATTTGGTTAGAGATTATTTGAAGATGCTGTCTCCTTATTTTAAGAAAATAACTTTTCATTCTCATCAGATGAAGAAGATCCAGATGCTAGTTAAATTGAGAGGACTCATTAAACTAAGATGACATAAGAAATTAGGTATTAAGAACATACTTCAACTCATAAATCCTAATAACAATAAGCCTAATAGCATTATCAAACAGCAAAAAATGTGAGGTTCAGAAAACGGTCTAGGTCGTTGAATTCATTAAGTGTTCATTCTGAAGAAGAATCTAAATTCTAAAAATCCATATCTGGAATTAAATCAAATGATTCTCAAATAGATAAAATGAGTGGAATTCCAGTTAAGGTATAACAAATACCAAGCTCTTAATTATCTTAAAGCTCATTTAATGTATTTCTGAAGGATTATCCTAAAAGAAAGATTTCTAAATAATAAGATTCTGATAAATATTCGAATCATTCTATGGGGCAACGCTAATAATAACCAAATCCTCTAAATTAACAATTATTGCATAAGTCCAGCAGTTAATCTAGTAGTGGAAACATTCCATAAAGTAGTATGGGTATACCTCCTGTACCTAATGCTTCTCCTCCGCTATTCTATTAAGATGAAAAATAATTGTTTTAGAGGAATAATGTTGAAGATAGCTTATATATTGCACAAGATAGAAAAAAGAAATCTCAAATAGGAACTAGTTATTCAAACACTAAATCCATTAAGAATCCATTATAGGCTATTCCTTCTGTAGGAGAGATGAATGAAACAGAAAAAATTAGCAAAAATCTCTTAAAGGAAGGATCGTATACTTCAAAATAATTATCTATGCAAAGTAGATCAAGAAGCTAAAGATATACAATATCATTAAGAACCGATAGTCAAAAAATTAGAGAAGATACTAAGCATGACACACAGAAACACGAATTTAAATATCGAACTGACACTTATAGATAATACAATGAAAATAATAGTCCATTAAATGAGGAATAGTTTCACAACAAATTTGAATAAGCATGCGATCTTAAATCTTATTATCCACAATATAATAAAGATTAGATTATTTAAAAATATAAAAGACACCAACTCAAAAAAACAACATACTCATATTAATTAAAGTCTTGATTAAATTATATATTGTTCTTAGTTATGTTTTTAAAATTTTTCAAATTATTGATTTGAATTTTTGTTAAGATTTAATTTTTTTTATTTTTATCGAACTCACATAATGAATAGCAAAGATTTCTAAACTTTATCCAAATAATATAGAAACTAAAAGAGTCAAGCCAAAATTTATCTAAAGAAATAAGCTTTAAATATGAAGATAAAAAAATCTTCAAAATCATAAACATAAAATACTAAGTCATTGAATAAATCTATTGATTATATTGAAATAATATTTCTAACTAAATATTTAAATCAGTCTATTTATTATAAATATCATTATCTACCCTCTCAAAATAAAACTACTATTCTAATACTATAGAAATATATTTATATTTGAATATGAGAATATTGAATATTTGTCTTATTGAAAAGCCAAGTATTAATAGCACTTTAGGGTTTTATCTAAATTAGATTGATTATCTCAGCGATATTGACATTGAGACAAAAAAGTCTTTTCTATTACGTATTAAGAATATATATTTGTTAATTTTGTTCACTTTCCCGTTACTTGATTATCAGTTGTAAATTTGTATAACAAGTTATTATAAATTTGAGAAGGTTATTGGATGATGTATTTGTTTAATGTGATTGAGCAAGCATTTAGAATTAAATATGATAAATGAAATTGTTAAATTGATTAATTTAGTAAATGAATTCAAGAGACCCACCCAGTAAAATTTTGTTACTTATCATAACTTATCTACCTCCTTCTTTCCCTCTTACGAATGATTACTTGTTCGAGACTTTCAAACAATACGGAGAGATCAAGAAAATACTCATTTTTGAGAGAGGAAAAACAAACAAGGCATTCATTGAATATTACGACATCAAACACGCAATTTAGGCTAGAAGAGATATGATGGGTAAATCGATCACAACTTAGGGAGGCAGGTACTTATCAATTTTGGAACTACTTATAGGCTTCTTATCCATTTTTCTCGTTTAAAGTAGCTCAATCTCGAAGTGGTTGATCATACTCGTGGCACTTAATATTAACCTCACGAAGTAGAGACACAGGTTTAACCCTAAAAGCAGGTCCAAAATCTCCCAAAAGCCCCTGTATTTATAGAGGAAGAAGCAAAACCCCCCCTAATTGATTTAACATAAGTATTGAAATTAGAGGCAGTTGATGTGTCTCAAGCATCGGAAGAATCTCCAACGAAAGCAATGTTTAAAATTATTATAAATTTATAGTATGGAAACATAATTAAAATAATTGGAAAGAATTTTAGATGAAGATTATGCGAATGAAGTAGCACGATCTAATTTAACTCAATTTGATGAATAACAATAAGTAATTAATGAATTACTGGCTTAAAAACCATCAAAATATTTGAAAGTACAAAACATAGATGAGAGAGTGACAGCCAAGATGTTGTATAACATGTTCAATAGATTTGGCCATTTGAATGCATTATTGTTTTAAAAGAAAGACAATATTGCAATCTTACAATTTGCCAATATCGATCATGCTACTATAGCTAAGGAACTGCTCAATAATATTATGTTTTTCAACAGAGAAGTAATAAAACCTTATCAAACTTAGATAAGAATATTGTTTCATTAGATTGATAATCTTGAAGCTTCAAATCCTAATGAAGAATATTATGTTGGAAGTTAAACCAAATTCAAAATAGTTCCTCTTAGTAAAGTCCTCGTTTTTTCTGGAATCAGTGATCTGCTTGATATTCAAGACATGGTAAAACTTGTTGGGAAAATTTAAGGTATTCATCAATTTTATTGAGTAGAAATTAAATTGGAATAGCACAGTATCTAGATTACAATGTTGGATATCTATGAAGCATTGAAGGTCATTTCAGTTCTTTCAGAATACGAGTATAAGGGAAATAAAATTAATCTAATTCTTAAATGATATATAACAATGTGTATATAATATGATCTTATAACAGTATTCAAATTAATCCGAAAATCACGTAGAATATTAATAGTAAGAATGCCAACAATAAAACTATGAAGACTACCAATTTTCTCACTGCATTATTGTTATTAACATTGTTGTTATTGACATTCAATCCATCCTGTGCTTCTGGTCTTGGGAGTAGAGTAACCTGAAAATCAGGCTATTAGGACTAATGTTCCTATTGTTCATTTAAACTAATCGCCAACTTATCAAAGTAAGGAGTGAACAGTTCTGTAAATTATGGGTCTAGTAGATTATGCTTAATTGACTATTTTGCATAGATTTATTTCTAGTAGTTATTGCAATCAACACCACCTACTGTTTTCTCATTGGTGTGCATGAAGGATATCAATCCAATAAGCATGGATGCAATTGTCCATGAAGAACTCCATGTTTCTGGATGGTAATTTGTGAATGATCTAAGATCTTCATATACATTTACAAACAAATTTTTTCTCCGACGGCAAATCTACCATTTGGAGTAACAAATTTAATTGCTGGAGGTTTGAGTGGGTAGTCAGTTGGGATGTGGATTATTCCGTGATATTGTCCTCCTTTGTAAGGTGAATCACTTGCAAAATTAAACAAGACGAAGTGCCACTCAAAAATATTAGAACGAGTAGGTAATGCCAAAAATGTATCACTTGGATTTTACTCCATCTTTTATTTCTCACGCATTAATCTTTAAGTAGCGATTTAATTTGCCATTATAAATATTAATAAATGTCGAATAACAATTTAGAAGATAAACCAAAATCAGAGAAATCGGATAAGACTAAATCCCTTAAATCTCAACAACAGTCTCAATAAATTTCTTAACCATCAATATCCTTAATGGAAAGAAATTTATAAAAAATGAGAACATTGACATAGAAATTAATTGCTCCAAATGTTTTAGAAGGACATTCCGAAACTGTCATAGAACAATTAAAATAAATGACCTTGCCTTAACCATCCGATGATTTGATCCATATTACTGAAACCTTGGAAGAAGCTCACAACATGTAATTTTTTTCACAACCAATTCAAATCATCTAAGGATAATTATAAGATAGAGAGCTTTTAAATGCGATGGCTCTGATTGTTAGTCATCAATAACTATTTAGCACACTTTATATTATAGATGAAGAACAAGATAGATACATATTCAAATTATACAAAAAGAATTAGAGATACTCAGTAATTATTGATCCTTTTGTTTATTTCTCTAGTCATTTGCCGAAATATTCTCGTTCTGGTTATAATTCAATTTGGGTAAGTCTATTAGAAAAGGCAATGTCTATTATTTTGGGCGGCTACGATTAGTTGGTTGGTATTTCTCTTAGAGACTCAATAAGAAATCTGTGTGGTTTGGATCCTGAAATAATAGTTTATGAAAATCCAGATAATGTTAATTAAAAGTAATTGTAATAAACTTTGACTTTATTATAATAAAATGGAAGCATTGTTGGATTTATGCAAATAAACAGTATAGGATTTAATAAAAATTAAAAGGCTCAATCCTCATTTCTACCAACATTAAATTAAATGTATGTTTTCGAATCTATTCAAGAGAATAAAGTCAAAATTGTGAATCACTTTTAAGTAAGTTCACATGAGATAACAATTAAAGATATTACTTAAAACTTCAATTGCATTGTAATAATTAAAGATTTCCCTGATGATTACAGAGGACTCTTTATTAATGTTACTACTACCACTCATGGTGTTCCTGGTAATAATTAATAATGGATCAACAATCCAAGTTATCAAATGGTAATAAATACATAAAGTGAATCTCAATTCATCTTTCGATTATCAGAATTAGAGAATTAAGATGGCATTACAGGTTTGTTACTTGTCAATTAAAGAGATGTCAGGACATTCAATTAAAATAATGTTGTCTTTATGACTAAATAGAATATAGTATAAATTGGATAGAGGAAATAGAATTATTCTTGCTTTAGTGCTAAAATAAAAGGGTTTCATACCTTATTTATATTCAGCACAAGCAAAGAACCAAAATTAGTTTTACTAGAAATCTTTTATGCAGGTAGACCATCTTTGATTGAGTTCAAATTCAAAAGTAAACCAATAATAGAATATTGCGTTGGAGAGCCTTAGGATTCTGAAGGACTTAGAATATTGAGAGATGTCATAAAAGATAAAGAGTTATTAATAGGCAATTTTAAGAACTAGATTTTGAACAATCCAAATCAACCTGTCTCTTCTAAATCTTATAATGATGTAATTGAATTGGATTAAGAAATGGCATGTATACAGGAGTATAATTTTATTAATATAAAGAAATTAATTATAAGAGGAATTGCTAGCAATTAATCTTGAAGGAAAGGATCCTCAAGAGACTGAGATCTACGATTTTAATGATTATTAACTAACAGATGAAGGATTCTAAACCATTTTACCTGATTTGATAGCTGAGCCTGTGATAAAAGAATTAAGATTGAGAAATAATTTATTACATGATGAATCAATTTTGTAATTATGTTACGAGTTAGATAAGTCATATCATTAGGAATTAGAGTTGTTGGATATTTCACAAAACTAATTAACAAAGAAATCAAATGAAGTTTTGAATAATCTAAAAAAAAGATTAAAGAATTTATAAAAGATAATTTAATGACTTTATTAATAAATTATATTATTTCAAATAGGAAAATAATATATATGAATAAAATTTGTTTGTAAATTGTAAGTTTCTTTGATAATATCTTGTAAAATGGCTCCTTGATTTAGAAAAATCACTTTGATTTCTTGAACACAAGGCATTTTTAAATACAAATCTTCATCAGAGTAATTGGGATCGCCCTAATCTTCTGCAGGTTTTATGTCAATTTTCTTGGTGCTTTGCAAATGGATTGAAGTTTCATTTTCAATTATATTATACCCATTATTCTTAAGCCAACGATTTTTTAGTAAAATTTTGTACATAGAATTCAAAAATTTCTAACCTCTATACAGTAAAGACAATTTTCTTTCATGCTGAAAATATATTTTCACATCATCTCCTAATGAACTACCACAATGAATTTCGACTTATAATGGGTATATAATTGAGGGAGTAATTTTAGCTTATTAGCATTCTGGTTCATGCTTTTATCTACCATTCTTCAAACAAGTTTTATCACAATAAAATGCAGAGTAACAGATGGTACAATGTTGTACGATATAGATAAACATACCACAAGATGCACATGGTACAACAACGTTAGGAAATGTTTCTTTGCTTAGATTCAAATTTGTAATGGATTAAAAGACCTCCACCAATATTTCTGATTTGAAATTCATCAATCTGATGAATTCATGTAAACAACTTTATAATTCATTATAATATGGAAACTCACCTTGATAGAGACCCAATTAAAATCTTTTAATGATTCCATTTATAACAGATTCATAGAATTCTTGCATAGATGGAGGACTAGTTGCATTGGGTCTGTAGGTGAATTCAGCATATTGATCTGTTTTGCTCATGATGCCTTGTTTCTTCATTTGTAAGGTGGGATTTGTTTATTCATTTTTCTTAAACAATTACCATTCAATCCATAAATTCTTGGCTAGATTAGTATTATTGTTATTCATTAATTTTAAAAATGTATATCCCCGTGAATGACATGCTTAAGCACTTTAAGCAAGACGCCCCTGCAATGGCCAACATTACTCATAAGAGTGATTAATGGAGTCCATATCATGATAATTCAGGGACTGTATTAGGTAAACACAAGAATTAATTCAAAAGCTGTGGGCATTCCAGGAGCAGTAATCGTTGCAGGAGACACAAGATTGAGCAATGGATACAACATCTTATCAAGAGATGCCACTAAATTGTCTTAATTGACAGATAAATGTGTCTTGGCCACAGCTGGTCAATACGCAGATTTTATTGCATTGAGAAAGTTTCTATAATAAAGATTATAATTGTATGAGTTTTAGAATGAAGTACAAGTAAGAGTGTATCATAATTATCAAAGGCTTCTACTGAGACTGTTGCTCATTTACTATCAAGAGAATTGTACTCTAGAAGATTTTTCCCATATTACACCTTCAACTTATTGGCTGGCTTAGATGAAAACAATCACGGAGTAGTTTATGGATATGATGCAATTGGTAGTTATGATAAGATGACTTATGGTGTTCAAGGAAGTGGGTAAGAATTAGTAGTGGCTGTGTTGGATAATCAATTGAAAGGTTACAATAAAATAAACAAAACCATTCCTCAAACAAGGGAGGAAATCCTGGATATCATTTTGGATTGCTTCAGTTGTGCTGCAGAGAGAGACATCCATACCGGAGACAATGTTGAGATCTTGATCATCACTGCTGCCGGAACAGAAAGAATTGTTAAGCCTCTTAGAAAAGATTGATCATTAATAAATAAATTAGTATAAATGTTATGGTTGATATAATATATATGAATCAAGCAAAAAACCTCTTTTTTAAGCTGTGTGCCGAAAACTCCTTCATGATTTCCTTCTTATTCGAGAAATTTTGAGCAAAAGTAAAATTTAGACCCTCGATTTAATTCTCTAAGGTTATAACTCTGATCTGCTTTTGCTATTGCACTTATTATTAAGTTCTTGGTTATTGAGATGAATATAATTATTATTGAGCCTCTTTTACTATCTGCAATATCTTCTTACTAGACATTGGATCAGACGTCACAGGCTTCCTGATTACATTGTTCTCCTTATGTCTAGGCAGTTGAAATTTTTTCTCCTCAAACTACCTCAAATCTATAAGACTTGATTTCCTCGCAATATGTGTTTATGGCTTTGATATTAGATTAGGCTCTGGACTGTATCCGAAATGACTGCTTTATAAAGGGCTCAACAATCGTTTGCTGGTCTCCTAGGTGTATTACTTAAAAGATCTAATCATACTTATCAAATTCTTAATTATTTTATTTAATAATTTATGGTTTTATTAGAATTTTATAAATATTGATCTTTCTTTCATCTTTCATAACTGACACCTTGTATACTCTCTGAGTTATCCTATGCTAACTTCTTTGTACTGTCTAATCTTCAGTTCATCTTAAATCTGCATTCTTTCCTTTTATTTCAAATTAAAATGCGGGTCAATTTAAAAGTTATATATTTAACCTCATTGGATTATAAAATCTAAATTTATTCAATTCAGAAATTCACGAATTTGCTTTCAAATCATTATGATATTAATAAGACAACATTGTAAATAATCAAAACTTTCCCTTTAAGTTTAATCAATCTAAACTTAAATGCAAATGAGGATCTGAGATACCATCCTCAATGTTTTTTTTCATCTGATCTCTAAACCTTCTTAAAGCATCTCTGACATCTGGAATCTTCTTTTGAACTATTTGAATCAGTAAGGGAGATAGAAACATTAAGGCTTAATCTTCCTAATCCCCTTACCAACTCTGTATTTAGATTCCGTTATCTGGTTGAAACTTAAAGTTCTCGGCCAGATTATCAATAATTATGGTTCTCCTTACATCTCGACCAATCCTTTGAATATCTTTGACGTATGCATTGTCAACCAAAATAGTGTGCTAACGATATAGTCTATATCCAATCACTCTATCTTCATCTATCAAATCCAATATGAAATCAGCGTAATCTTACTGTGCTGCAGTAAAAATCACTATCTCATAATACTTAGACATTTCCTTCAAGAATTATTAGGCATATGGTCTAACCAAAAACTATCCATCATCCACTAACTATATAGAAATACACTCAAATACTTCTTAATAATGGACTAATGTTTCATCTAAATCTATAACCAAAGTGTATTTATTTGTTTTAGATAAGTAAGGTATCTGTTAACAATCAATCACTTCTTCATAGTCAAACTAAAAGTCCGAAGAATCTCTTGTTAATCTCAACTATTAAATGTGTACTAGCTTAAAATATAGATTTTATATTTAATACTATTTTATCGTATTAGTACTTAATAAATTTTGTTCCTTATTGTAAATTGATGTTGTCAATTATTGATAAGACTTTTTCTAATTAATTAAGGTTATTATCAGTAGCATTTTCAACGCTAAAAATATTGATAATAAACTTACAATAGAATTAGAAGTGAATATACTACATTACTATTTTTGCGTATTAAATTGATATCTATCATTTGCTGGTTTTTTCTGGCTCGTACCTTATTTAACCTAGCTAAAATTGCTGCCTTTTAAGATTGAGATAAAGAATTTGATTAAAGCATCAACTCCAAATGTAAAACCATGCTGCTATGAATGTAAAATAATAGATTTTTTATGTTTTATTAATCCTCTTCAAATGAATCCGATAAAACTTTATATAAAACAACTAAAATCCCAATTCTTTCCAAAATCATTGATTTACATAAGACTTATTAATATACCAGATCTTTTTCTTCAAACATAAAAGTAGAAATTTAATTAAGATAATTTTAACATTATTTAATTACTTTTTACTTTTTGCTGATAACAGCCAAAATGGTAAACACAATTTCCTCTAAATTAATAAACTATTAAATTTATTCTTCAGAGTCACTCATAGTATAACTTGTTGATTCATTTTTATGAGATTTCGATTCTTCTGTTCTACATCTCAAAGAATCTAGTTTCTAATTTTTATTTAGTATCTTATCTTACCCAACTTTACAATTTATTTGTTGATATATTTTTTTCAATTACTAAGGCATTTAATATAAAAGTTATGGTGAAATAGATCTTTGTGTTTTATTTATTGATGATTTTTCATGTTAGGAATTCGGACTAGAAGTTCTATTAAAATACTAATCTTATGAATTAGTTCTCTTTTAAAGTTCTTATAAGAGAACATTAATTTTCGGAGCTGATTTTTTTTTTTCATTAAATGATATATTCAAGGTTTGCTTATCCTTAGATTGATCGCCAACATTTCTTGATGATCGATTATCAATAGGAGGCTTTTTGATTTTGCTTGTATATATTTTTTTCAGTTGCTGTAGATCGTAATTCATTAATTAGTTTTAATATATATTTTATATAAGAATGAAAAAATTTAGATTTTTAAAAACACAAACATTTTAAATTAGACATGGGATCGTATTTTAATTTGCTAGATCGCTATAAATTTTAATAAGTATTCATACACATTAATATATTTATCATTAAAATCATTTTCTACTTTAATTCTATTCGCTATACTAATAAGTATTTATCAAGAAACTTCGTATTCAATTCTTGAGTGTTCAGTCGAACTAAATCATTGATGGGTTTCTCATTTACACTTAGATAAAGATGGAATAATAATCTTAATCTGCAATTGAGAATTTTATTCCATAAACCAGTGAAAATTATAGATTCAGCAATAACAATAGATCTTTGAATGTATTTCTTATAAGCAAAGGGAAATTCATCAATTGTGAAGATACACACTCAAATCGATCGAGATTTAGCACAAAATATGAATTCTTTATGTGATGAATTGAGTGTTTTATTATGATAATGATATTATAATTTTATTTTATGTAATTGATAATAATGAATTTCTCTTCTTTAAAAATTTATGAAAAAATGCATATTTTTCCTAAAGATTATGATTTAATTTTTTAATACATTAGATAGTCGTATATATTTTATTTAAAATATTAACCAATATATTATCCAACAAAACGTAGGATTGAAAAATAATGATTTTTTTCAGCAACATACGATTTTCTCGTTTAATCAAGACAATAATAAATATCAATATATTATAATTTATTTTAAATGTCAATACTTATTATTAATTAGTAAAAATGAATAAATACAAATTTTTGCATAAAATTATAAAGATATTTTAAATATCTAAAAATAATTCTCGAAAGCGACCCCCTAGAAATGTGGCCTTTCAAATTATTCTATGAGATGACTCTTCTCTTCAGTAAATACTAAAATTTGGATTTCTAAATCATTTTAATTTATTAATAAGTTAGATATCAAAATCTTAGTGTAATCAACTAAAGCAGATCAATACAGATTTCATTCCCGAGATAAATAGAATAAATATTATTTAAGTAAAAAGTTAAGTTACTTTAAAACAAATACAGCTTGATAAAATCTCTTATTTTGTGATGTGATGCGTAAAACAACTTAATATACATCATTATTCATCAAGATAGTTGATTTCCTTATCACCAAAAAATTGCATTTATTTTAATAATATAATGAATACCATTCAATTTTCTCATGTCAAAACTGAATCAGAAGACATAACTAAACTTTCTCCTACTTCCACTAAAACTACATAATAATTATATCCGGCATAAGATGATATCATGAGTCCCATCTCAGCCAAAATAAAAATAAAAGATAGTTTCAATGAGTTCTTAGATGGTAGGATCAACACTTTTTAACTTCTTCAAGCAAAAAATTGTCCTCGTCTACATCAGCAACAGTAAATTGAATAACATGAAAAGCAAGCCAGAGAAAGAGAATCTAAGGGTATGGTTATTTTGGGACCATTGCTTAGATTTAAACACAAATATAAACATGTTAAAACTCAGTCTGAAGAAAGAATAAATTATCTGAAAACAAAGATAGCAGCTCTTAACAATCTAATAAAATCTAAAGTCGTAAATAGAAAAAAGGACAATGATGAAAAACGGAGAAGAAGCTTATAAAATGTTGGACTACTAAAATCTATAGTCGAAGCATCAGAAAACATAAATAAGAAAATTGAATAGGTTGAGACATATGAAAAAATGGTACCATAAATGAAAGCATTAAAAACTGTTACAATTAGTTATGACGATTAAAAGATGTTTAGAAAATAATAATTAAAGTCAAAATTAAATACATAAACTTCAACTAATCCAAAACTATTTCTCAAGACCTAATTACAAGATTCAAGTAAATAGTTTTTAAAAGAATTAGAAGAGATGAATGAAAAAAAACAATAAAATTTAGACAGACTTTCTAGAATGAAATTACTGTCTGATAATAAATTATAAAAAACACACAAATACGATCTCTTTGTCAAAGAAGTCCTAACGTACAAGGATATCGAATTGTATGATTACTTACATCAACAACCCCAATAAGTTTAATATAGATGTCACTTTACAAATCAAGGAGAAGATGCTGCTAATCTAAACTAAGTTAAACCAAAAAAAAAAATCCTTAAAAAACAGCATAAAAAATATAAAACCCTTACTGAAAGTAATATGAATCAAATTCTTGATGTTTCTGATACATCCTCTTTATAATCTGCATATGAAATACATTTAGATAATTTATATGCTCAAACTATAGAAGTGAAAAAGTAATTGTTGAAGAAATCTATGTTACCGAAAAGAATCCGATAAATGATAAAACTTGATGAATTAGGTAAACAGACTTTACATACTAGTACTCATAAACTTAAACATTGAATATATTTATTAAAATATAAAAAATAATATGGCATTATGTATATATCTTCTTGATTATCATATTCATTGTTAATATTTCTCTTCCTCTACTTATTGGGTATGTATAGCAGATTGAATCCTTGAATTTCTATTTTTAATTGAATTGATAAGTGATCCAGGATCAACATTTTATTTTGGAATTTCATCTTCCAACAATTGATTTATACTTTAAATTATAAGATAACATTAATTACTGATTCATTTAAGTTTATCTAAAATGAGACAAATCTTATTAAGTAGAAATGAACTCAACACTCCATACTTCAATTCTATCAATATTCAATTTTGTGATATGAGGTGCCAATATATGACCTGTTGCAAAAGTCTTATCATCATCTGTGATATAGCTATCCTTCAAATTTTGACCATCAATCCAAATTCTATGTTGTTCATATCCACTACCTCCAATACCCAATCCAAATTTGCTTAATTTCTTCAATAAAGATTATGGCAATGGTCTACCTTGATCACTATTCAATAAGGCATATTTGCTTTGTCCCTTCCCTTTGCCAGTTATAAATTGTTAGTATTTTGGAACTATGGAAAAGATTGAGGAATTCTTATCTCCAGTGATGTCTGGTGCTAATCTCCACCTTGATGAATTGAAATAACCGAATAGATAATGCTATTCAAAGGCATCTAAATTTTCATCAGGAGTGTGTTGATATGGCAATTTTTCATACTTATTTAATCGTTCGACATGTCTAAATAATAATAGAGTTGGAGAATTTTAGGATAACAATTGATTTGATAAAAGGTTTAAATCAAATTAATCTTAACCTTCCTAATAAGCAAATAGCAAATTCAATTTTTTGGTTTAGTAGAACCATGGAGTGCTTAAATAAAACAATCCCAATATTTGATAGTTGATAATAAGGGAATTATCAGTCAGTTCTGGAAGTTTAATCTTGTGAGAGGAATCAGTAAACTTTCCAGCAAAGTACCTTCTTATGACTGTATTAATCAAAGGAACTTCCACCTTTATTTAATTACAAAACTATTGTAGGTCCATGTTGCTTGTTTTATCTAAAGGATATTCTCATTTATATTACCTCCAAAAATATTATTGATCAATAGTTTGGCTGCTACATCATCGTCATCACTTAATCTATTGCCTTTTGGACTCAGCATATTGATAATCTCCTTTATAAATATCCCTGCCTATAAATATGTGATTTCAACTTTGGTTAACAATTACAGCTTGAATTCTTCTCTCTTGTAAATTTCAGGATGTTAAATGGATATCAGTAATAATAACTAGTATTGTTCCAAATGCTTGTAGTTATTTGTATAAACATATATTTCTGATTTCTATTTTGTAAATAGTTCCACTAATAATCGTTTTTAACATCATTACTTGATAATACAAATGTTTCCCTGTTCACAATGTTTGTTTCACTTTGGCTTTTGATAAATTTAAAGATTTTATCAGCTAATTACGTATTTTCTGTGAAGGCTGTTCTAAAACCTTCGATGGCAATAAATTGTTCAGCTTTTCTAATTTATATGATTCAAAACTACCCTGGTGCAACTGAGGACAATTTCTTAAATTTCTCATTACATTTCTCCAGTTCTTTGCTATTTAAAGAACTCTTTTCTTAAAGATTTTTTCTTGAACTATTACAGCCCATTATATCTATATCAATATAATTAAATAAATAAATAAAATAAAATTATATAAAAAAATGAGAAGCCATTTGGGAATCAGATTATAATGATCATCATTATATATTCATAACAATTCTTAGTCATATTCTATCTATATTTCCTAATCTCATGAATTTTACTTAATCAATATTTAAGATTCATTAATTAGATTTTTAAGTTCACTTTGATTTGTTCCAAGAAAATAATAAATGAAAAGCCTTCAATAAGAAGGATATAATGATCAATCTTCTAATTCAATTTTAATTAAATTTCCTTATATTACCACTAATACAATAAATATCTTTGATTACACAAATTTCTCATAAATTCACTTCAACTCTATAGTATTTATTTTTATTGCAAATTATTTAAGTATCGTACCCTATGTCTGATATAACTAATTTTTAATATCAATTAGCAAATTCTAGTATAACCATTATCAATTTTGTTCAATTAAAATGTAGCAACCCTTTTTTCTTATTGGAGAATTCTTTATATTTTAGTGTTTATTTTATATGTATTGAGATTTTCATCTATATGTTATAAATATTTTATGATAAATTAAATTAAATAGTATAATTATTATTCATTTTGTTATAAAAAGAGCATAATGTGAAAATATTAAATTTATTTACTAGAGTATCTATTTAAAATATTGAGATTTGGATTGAATGCAATTCTTTAAAATACCTGTAAGATTTTTTAGAATTATGAAAATCAATTTCGATATGATTAACTGTGATTTTATAATTGATTTATAATAATTTCATACTAAAATCATAGTTGTAAGGCAATTAATTATTTTGGATAAAAATGCATGTAATCTAGTTATCTTAAAAATATAGTTGTTTTTAACTAATGTAACCAATGGATTTAAATTTACAATTTGAGATAGGTTTTCATTAGTTTAAATTTATTTATCTAAATTTGATAATAATATTTTTAAGACGCTCTCTCTTGCTTGTGGGATTGAGTAAATGATTGAATTATATATTGATGATAAATAATTGGTATGTGAATAGATTCATGAATAAAATTATCAAATGGGTTTGTCTGAATTGAAAGCAGTTTTTCATTCATTTTCTAATTCACGAAAATGATTCAAAATATCATCAATGTCATCATCCATAACTTCCTTTAAGTTCTCAAATCTTTTGAGAGGCAGAGGTTTAATAGGCTAAATGACAACCTTTCTGAATACATCAATATCATTTGTAAATTGACTCTCCTAAGATATTGCATTTGAAATCGATTGAGAGGAGTGAGTGACTGTTTACGAGCCGCAACATTGCTATGCTCCCATATTTAATTTAATAATAAATTAAAGTGTATTTACTTTGAATATTAATGAAGTAAATTCGAATGTTATAAAATAATTAATATTAAATAAGTAATCTACTCCTATTAAAATTTGGATGAATTTGGTAGGAGTAAGAAACTAGAGCATGTGAATGATATTATTTTAGAATTATTAATAAAATTATTATTTATTTTGGATGTGGTATAAAAACTTTTCAAAACAAAGTTGGAATCTTCGTGTTTGGAGGTATACTTTAGTGATCATAATAACATAGAAAGGCTAATATATTATTCAACCAAGACGACATTGGTATGTTCAAGACAAAAGGTGTTTTGAGATGGAAGGATACTGTATTCAGAATGGCCAGAAGTGAAGCATGCGTATGAAATTATTCATATGAATGATAGTTAAGAGGATTCAACTTCTTCTTCTTTGCTGGAATGATTGGGTCATTCATTTGGGTTAAATCAAACTATTATGATCCAAAATATGTGGCACCTAAAAAAGTAGAAAGCGAGAAAGAATTAGAGAGATTGGATGCAGAGGCTGATAAAATATTATTTAAGAATAGATTGGAGGCATATTCAAGACCCCATAGAAGTTTGGAAGACTTGATTGCCTTCTTGTCTGGGTATTGATAAATAGATAATTGTTCATAGTTCAAAGACCTTTGATTAATTTGCTGACTTTATCAGTTACGAGGAAGCAATGAATAACAGTATGGATCAATAAAATGGTTTGGATTCGTGGATGGATGACTAAGACTAAAGAATGCTTAAATATTATCAAAGAAGTATTGGACGCACTCCAAAATTTGATTGAGTTAGTCAAGTACATATAAAATAAATAAAATATATATATATTGATATTTTAATTCTGTTGTTAAATGAATAAAAAATATAATAAAATCACATTCCAGAACTAAATATAATACATATATGATTACTAGTTTGGTCCTCCTCCGGCTTCTGGGACAGTCCATCTGACATAATCTTTGGGCATCTTGATGTCACAAGTCTTGCAATGTAGACAATTTTAAGCATTGATTTACAACTTTTTGCCTTCCTTAGTATCAATAAATTCATAGACTTTAGCTGGGCAAAATCTTTATTCAGGGCCATCATACAAATTCAAACTTTCCTTAGGCCCAGCCTCTTTGATCACTTTAAGGTGTGCTGGTTAATCATGCTCATGGTTGGTTCCACTTTACATATAATCAAATATTTACCTTCTTGCTAGGTTGTCCAATAAATCAAAGGTCAATTTTCCATCTGGCTTCTCATACTTAATCTAAGGAGCTTTATCTTTAGTCAAATATGATTCGCTTTCTTTGACATGAGATTTGATATTCCAAGGCTCCCTTCCTTTTGAGATGAAACCATCAAATGCACCATAAAACAATCCAGAATAGATATTGTATTTAAATGAACCCTTGAAGTTTCTTGATCTATATAATTCATCGTAAATCCAAGATGATTTAACAGCATCTTCATATTCAACTAATTCTTATCCTGGTTCTACATTTTGTTTAGCACAAATAGTTTCTGCTGCCAACATTCCTGATTTCATGGCATTATGAGATCCCTTAATTTTCATAACATTTAAAAATCCAGCAGAACAACCAGCCAACATACCTCCTGGAAATGTTAATTTAGGAATTGAAAAGTAGCCTCCTTCATTTAAAACTCTTGCACCATAGCTTATACAGGTTCCATTCTTAAGATATCTTGAGATTTTTGGATGTTTCTTTAGATTTTAAAACTCTTGATATGGACTTAAATTTGGATTCTCGTAGTCCAAACCAACTACCAACCCTAAATGTATTTGATTAGTATTCTTATGATATAAGAATGATCCTCCATAAGTATTTCTACATAAAGGCCATCCAACTGTATGTTAAACTAGGCCAGCCTTAAAATCTTCAGGAGGAACTTCCCAAACTTCTTTTAATCCAATACCATAAGATTGAGGTTCACAATCTGATCTTATATTTCATAATATTTACCTTTTCTCAAATTGTATTTTTCAATGACTCTCTCAGTAATTGAACCTCTTGCTCCTTCGCATAATATTGTTTAATTTGCCACTATATCTATTCCCTCTTGATAATTGGATTTTTTCTCTCCATTCTTACCGATTCCCATGTCTCCTGTTGCTACTCCTATCACTCTATCTTTTTCATCAAATATCACTCTTGCTCCAGAAGTACTTGTAAAAATGTCCACTCCCAAAGCTTAAGCTTATTCTCCCATCCATACACATAAATCACCCAAGCTTATTACATAATTTCCATGATTCCTAATTGTAGATGGATAAAACATGTGTGGAATCTGAAAACTCAATTTTTCGTTCCAAAGGATATGAAAGTGATCCTCTGAAACCGGAGTATCCAAAGGAGGTTTCTATATTGTAAATTAATGACAAACTTACATTTTCCATTTTCTCCCAATTAGGAAATAATTCATTCATTGCTGTAGGTTGAAAGCAATTTCCACTCAGAATATGGCCCCCCAAAGTACCTGACTTCTCTATTACCACAACTGATTTGTTAGGGTCCAATTCTTTAATTCTTATGGCTGCTGACAGACCTGCTGGACCTGCTCCAACAATAAGTACGTCATATTGAATCTTTTCACGCGAGAAAAGAAATCTCGTAATTTTTTTTAACATTAATATTATTTTCAATTTCCAATAGAGGCATTATGAAAATTAATACTAAATTACAATGCCTTCTCAATTTTAATCATGCTTGTTAAATTGTCAATTTTAATTAAAAGATTTGTAATTGATTTCTACATGTTTACATTTTATGATCATCTACTTAACTAATTATACAGTTTAAACTCAAAGAAACATTTAATTAATAGAAATCTAATTTATTTCTTCTTTTCAAATACACATTCTATCCATAAATGCTATGAGTTCGTAATTTATAAATATTAACTGACAAACTAAAGATCATGTTTTTATTTCGAAATATCCTAATTTTATTTCTCAATAGAGTGGAGTAGGGTATTTATAGAAAATAGTCATTTAAAGTAAAATAATTATATAAATATTTTAATGAAGACTCGAGGTTCAAAGAAATATGTTTAAACTCCCTAAATTTGGACAGGTATTTAAATAAGATAGCTAAACAAATTTGCCTTTGCTATTTTATATTGAAAATTTTAATTTATTTTTAGAAACTTCACAAAAGTAAGATGAAACAATAGGCGATCCAATTATAACCAAGATTGATATGGATAACGAAGACTAGGTTAAATAAACTAGTGTCATTAATTTTCACTATAATTAAGGTATTAAAAAACTATAAATTACAAAATCATATCCAATTGAAAAAAGCGGTAATTATTTTTCTAAATTTAAGTAGGTTTTAAAGCAAACAAAACCAGAAGCAAACCTCTGGTATTGGATTTATTTCATAGCATAAAATAGGGATAGGACAATAAACTTTATGATATCATGGATGTTAATCAATATATGTCATTGAAAGATTAATAATAGTCTTAAAATGTTCCCAAATCATTAAGATGCAAATGCAATAAATCTATGTGTTTGAAATAATATTGTGATTGTTTTGCCAATGGAAATATGTGCACTAATCAATGTTAGTGTTAAGGTTGTCACAATAGTGAAGAATATATGGAAGAAAGAGAAGAAGCTATTAGCAAGCTGAAAATTCAAAATACATCCTTTGAAGTACTAAAGATTTTTTATAAACTAGAAAGAAGCCCCAATAGGAATAAGTTGTAAATGTAAAAAGTCCAAATGCACAAAGAAATATTGTGATTGTTACTAAAATAAACAAAAATGCAATGATAATTGTTAATGCAATAATTGTGAAAACTAATTAGAAAAGCCTGAATACATAGAATAACGAATAAATCCACATTCCCTATCATAATTTGATGAGAATAGCAGATATCCCAAGTCTCCCATTATCTCCAGAGGGTAATTTTTATTTAGAAGGAATGATAGCATGAATTATTCTAATTCTTTTGGTTATTCAAGAAGTATTTGATATTAATTATGATTAGAAATTTTAATTCAATAAGAAGGCCCATATTATTTAAAGCAAGACTCATAAGGATTTAATTGAAAAAATGATATTAACTGTAATTATATAAAAAAATCATGGGAGACTCTTTTTATATGTTTTCTAAGGTGTGCAATATACTATTTACTCAATTATTGAGCTAGGTAGATTAAAGGTTTATGTTACCTTTTCGGCTGGACTTTTAATACAATTAATCTATGCTTCTATTTGATTTAATTTTTCAGGACTGTTTTGAATGTACTGAATTTCTTTAAATTACTGCGAAATCATCCTCCATTTATTGCATTTTTGGTAGTTAACACCATCCCATTGTATTTAAATAAAAAATTAATTATTAATAAATAAATTAATTAATTTAAGGATGTCAATGAGTGAACAGAGTAAAACAGAAAATCGGATATTTGTGACTGGATACTCAACAAAAGATAAAAATGAAGAGGATATCAAAAGCCTTTTTTCTAAGTATGGTGAAATCATTGAATTCTCTTGGAAGGGTCGTTTTTGTTTCATAGTAAAATTAGCGTCTATTTTATTAGGCTTATTCAAAAGCAGAAGAAGCTACAGAAGCTGTGAATGAAATGAATTAAAAAGATTAAGATGGCAACACTTTCGTCGTCGAGATAGCCAGAGCCAAAAAAAAAGATGGTGAATGCTACAAATGCGGAAGAATTGGACATTTGTAAATATTTGATGAAAATTTATTAGTGCTCGAAATTGTAGATAAAAAGGAAGATCATCAAGTTCAAGTTCAAGGTATATTTAGTTATATGTAGACGTCATAAAAGAAAGGTTAAGAGACACAGAAGAAGAAGTCCATCCAGTTCATCCAGTTCTTCTTCATCATCTTCATCTAGAGATAGAAAGAAGAAATAGAAAAAACCAAAAAAAGGAAAGGAATCTTCATCATCAAGTGATTGATTTAAAAAGAATTTGGATATATATCGATGATAAAAAATTATCGTGTTTTTTTGTTGTGAATAAATCAAATCATTTTTTCAATGCTTATTCGTTGTCTCTCAAAATTTATAAAGCAGTCTTTAACGAATTCAATTAGCCTTCTCTCTTGCTTGCATTGGATCTGAAATTTGAATCATATAAATCTTTTTGGACTCTTGTAGTTTCTAATAATTATTAAGTATTNAATACATAGAATAACGAATAAATCCACATTCCCTATCATAATTTGATGAGAATAGCAGATATCCCAAGTCTCCCATTATCTCCAGAGGGTAATTTTTATTTAGAAGGAATGATAGCATGAATTATTCTAATTCTTTTGGTTATTCAAGAAGTATTTGATATTAATTATGATTAGAAATTTTAATTCAATAAGAAGGCCCATATTATTTAAAGCAAGACTCATAAGGATTTAATTGAAAAAATGATATTAACTGTAATTATATAAAAAAATCATGGGAGACTCTTTTTATATGTTTTCTAAGGTGTGCAATATACTATTTACTCAATTATTGAGCTAGGTAGATTAAAGGTTTATGTTACCTTTTCGGCTGGACTTTTAATACAATTAATCTATGCTTCTATTTGATTTAATTTTTCAGGACTGTTTTGAATGTACTGAATTTCTTTAAATTACTGCGAAATCATCCTCCATTTATTGCATTTTTGGTAGTTAACACCATCCCATTGTATTTAAATAAAAAATTAATTATTAATAAATAAATTAATTAATTTAAGGATGTCAATGAGTGAACAGAGTAAAACAGAAAATCGGATATTTGTGACTGGATACTCAACAAAAGATAAAAATGAAGAGGATATCAAAAGCCTTTTTTCTAAGTATGGTGAAATCATTGAATTCTCTTGGAAGGGTCGTTTTTGTTTCATAGTAAAATTAGCGTCTATTTTATTAGGCTTATTCAAAAGCAGAAGAAGCTACAGAAGCTGTGAATGAAATGAATTAAAAAGATTAAGATGGCAACACTTTCGTCGTCGAGATAGCCAGAGCCAAAAAAAAAGATGGTGAATGCTACAAATGCGGAAGAATTGGACATTTGTAAATATTTGATGAAAATTTATTAGTGCTCGAAATTGTAGATAAAAAGGAAGATCATCAAGTTCAAGTTCAAGGTATATTTAGTTATATGTAGACGTCATAAAAGAAAGGTTAAGAGACACAGAAGAAGAAGTCCATCCAGTTCATCCAGTTCTTCTTCATCATCTTCATCTAGAGATAGAAAGAAGAAATAGAAAAAACCAAAAAAAGGAAAGGAATCTTCATCATCAAGTGATTGATTTAAAAAGAATTTGGATATATATCGATGATAAAAAATTATCGTGTTTTTTTGTTGTGAATAAATCAAATCATTTTTTCAATGCTTATTCGTTGTCTCTCAAAATTTATAAAGCAGTCTTTAACGAATTCAATTAGCCTTCTCTCTTGCTTGCATTGGATCTGAAATTTGAATCATATAAATCTTTTTGGACTCTTGTAGTTTCTAATAATTATTAAGTATTAGCTTCATTTTATTATAATTATGTATTTCTTCTTTGAGTAATTTTCTATACAAATATATTAGAATAAGTTACTAAATCATTTTATCTATTCTTTAAAGCACTTGTAGTTTTTTGATTGTCCTATTGTAATTTGTCTCTAACAACAGTTACTTCATTCACTAAAGAATTAAAGTTTTCTTCAACTGCTGTTTGATTTGATTCTCTATTTATTTGTCCTTCCTTGATGGATGCTATGATTTATTCAATCAATTCAATAGCCCTTTTAGCAGTAGCTTCATCGAATCTATGAATGCTATTAATTATTATTACTTGGATGAGAATTCTAACAATAATGCCAATGGATGTGTACGACCTAATTCTTTTTTCACTTATTTGATCATTTCTTGTTTTTCAGCTTCCTCAAGAAAAGATCCTGTATTTGAAAGAACTGCCTTTACTAATCTATCATGAATATCTTCTAATGCTGCAAGAATCTTTGAACCAGCTGATTACTTTGTTTCCAAAGCTTAAACTTCTCTCTATCTATTATCTCTGATTTATTCCTCTCTCTGATTAATTGTTTCCAATTGTTTTTTCACAGCTACACTAGTAGAAGTAAGAGTTGAGATTGCCTAAGTGATTTCTCCAATTTTCCTGTTGTTGGTTTATACTTCACTTGATAATGTTGCCAAATTAGCTTCTAATTACTCAATACTTGACTCAAATGCAGCCATTCTTGAAGCGTGATCTAAATTTGCTGCATTGATTTATCCTGTTAAATCATCAACCATTTTCTATAATAATTCAAACACTCTATCCAACTATCCACCTGCCAAACTTAATTCTAATAAATCAACTAATTATGAATTATATTCATTTTAGTCTAATTTATTTCTTAATTTTTCAATAGCAGGGCTCTCTGTTGCAACTGCCATTGTTACTAATAGCAATACCATTAGAGTTTTAAATGTCATTTAATCCGTTTTTATATTAATTATTAATAATCATTATTATGATGACCTTTATGCAAACTATACCAAATATTGTTTTCTCCTCAAGACCAAAGTAATATCTATATAAAAACTTTAAAATTTTATCTCGTAATTATCTACCATCATTATTAAATTCTCTTATTAGATTTCAGTACTCTAATTCTATTTAAATTGTGTTGAATATATTAATCTTGCTCATATCTTTATAGGATTTCATTAAATATATCTAATTCTGATTTTTTATTAAATATCAAATAGTTCACTATTTTTAGTTTACTAATTTCTATAGTTCTAACTAGTTTTCTCAAAACTAAATTAACTTTTTGTAAATAAACATAATAATATTAAAGTTCAATAGGGATCAATTGAATAAATCTATAATCTTATACTTACTTATTGTAGCTTAGTATATTATTACTAAATTCCTACAATGGATTTAAACTTCAAAAGAACAAGCTGATATGTTTTGGAATATATGTTTAAATTTTTTAATTGCTTATTTCATCTTATTGAATTAAATATAATTCATTCTAATAATAAATAAAACTAAATAAAGCATCAATAATCAACAGAGGTTATTTTTTTTATCTTATATTGCATATCAATTTAGTAAAATAATATTGTAGACACATAGCAATAAAAATAAATGATCCCATAAACGGATAGACTTATCTGCACTACCGGATTTGATTTTAATGGTATCATATTTTAAAATCCTAAAACTTTAGGATTATTTTTATATCGAATGCTGCATTTCTGAAACTTTAATAATTGAAACAAATTTTTTTTCAGAATGATGAGATTATTATATTCCTAATTTAAAAAATTGAAAAATTATCTGAATTGATCTAAATTAAGTTCACAAACATAAGAACATCCCTAAATTATTGCTAATTTTATTTTTTAGTTCAATTTCTAGAATATTTGTTCTAAATTTAAGGCAATCATAGATTGTGCTTTTTTGGATAACCTCTTATTCTTCTTTCAAAATATACATAAAAAATTCAATTAATTTTGTTTAAACTAAACTCAGAAATCTTTTAATATAACATTTTTGGAACTATTATGTATTCATATTAAACTTGATTAATTCATCTATAACATTGATTATAACAATAAAATAATTTACTTTAAATATAAAAGTAATATATAAATAGTGAAAATATTTTTGTTTTGAAGGTTTTAAAATAATAATACAAACCGAGAATCAAGAATTTCTTCGAATTGTAATAAAATTTGATTAATATTTAGGATGACCAGTTTTTGGATTCATATTCATTTCAATCACTCAACTCTATTATATTACTTCAAATTTAATCTAATTCAGGGGTAAATAATATAAAAATCGATTTCTAAACCGGAGGAATCGTTTTTTGAATAATTTTAATTTTTTAAAGTAAATTATCAATTTAAATTAAGTTATTATCGGACCAATTAACCTACTAATGGTCATTTTAATAAAATTCCTTCATCAATTTACCAGAAAAATGGTATTTTAGGTATTTTAGAATCATTCTTTGAAATTCTAGATATTTTTATAAAGTTTTACATGAATTTCTAAGAATTTAATAAATAATACTAAAGACTTTACAATTTATGGGTTCCAAACCATGTTGCTGCGAATCACCTAGAAACTCAATGAAAGAAATCAAAATTATAATTAACTAGATAAGCTAAGAATTTCAGATACCAGTCAATACTCCATCAAAACCTGAACCTTTGTAAATGATGCAATCTCTTAAAGAAGAAGATGATTTTGGATTATTTTTGGTAATGGAATAATATGAGAGACTACTAATTAAACAAAATAAAAGGAACAAGTCATATTCTCCCTCATATTAAATAAAGACTGAAACCAAAGACTTCACAACTTTATACAACTTTAAAAAGCACTTATAAAAGTTTGATCTCAAAAAATCAAAATCTTTAACTAATTCAAAAATATCAACTGCAAGTCAAAGATCTGCAATTAAGAGTATACTCAAGTAGAAACTAACATAAAATTAAATATCATATAAATAATAAATTTCCGATCCACAGAGATCAATCAAAAGTGTGCATTTTGACCATGTTTTGAGTCCTAAAAATAGGATTTCAAGATAATCACAATTCGCAAAAAAGAGGATATTTATTAAGTCCTACTTTTGATATCTTTAATGAATTTGTTCTACCCCTATTTAATATATGATAAGGCTAATAAATTGATGTTTCTTTCTCTTATTTAAGTAATTTTTCTCAAAATTAAAAACCATTAATTCACTCTTTAAAGTTTTTAAATTGATTAAAATATTTATTTAAACAAATTAATAACCAAATATTTCTTAAATCGAGTGATTAAAGGAGTTTTAAAACATAATACAGAGTAAACATTTTTAACAGATAATTAATCTATACGGAACCTATAATTAGATTATTTTTATACTCTTTAATTTATTCATCATCATAGCAAAAAATATTAAAATATTGATATTATTTTTATAAATTGAAAATTATGATTAAAAATTAAGAAGTGATTTTTCATAATTTATTAACTAATAGAATTATTGAATTTTGAATGGTATGGCTTAGAATAATAGCTAAAAAATCTTCTTAGGAAATTACATGATGATGTTGCATATTTTATTTCATAAACAATATAAAAAAAGATTAATATTAATAAAAAAACTACATTATCTACTCATTACAGATATCATTTAAAAGGAGCAAAAAATATTGAGAAAGAATCATTTAAGTTGGTAAACAATTGTAAAAAGTAAAAAAATATCCCACGCCTTAACTTTATAAATTAAAATTTGAATTTCTAACCCAACTACTTTTTATTTTACAATTGAAGGATCGATTGTTCAATTAATACGAATTTCAGATATCATGGTTAATATAGTATATGATTAAATTAATTAATAAATATATCTATGTATAGGTTTAGATAGCTTTGGAAATTTAGCACCCTCTAATTTCACAAAGGAGCTAGTGAATATTAGAATGTCTCTGAAAATGTTGTTTTGAGAGGAGTCACAATTAAAGGTAGATATAATGATTTACCTAATTTGCTGTTCTTCACAGAAGCATGTGATCCTGTTGAAAATTGGATACCATTCTTCAGTGATCCGAACAACAAAGTAGAATTCTAAATAAAATACTTAGATCCTGGATTACAGAAATGTGCATATTTTGAGTCCCAGAAATTTTGGTACATCAGATAAACATTATTCATTTGATGTTCAAGATTTAGCAAATGATGTTGTCAGATACATGTACTATAACAAAATTACCATGGCTACATTAAGTGGACATGGATTTGGAGCTAAGGTAGCTTTGGCAGCAGGATGTTATCACCCAGAGAGGACAACTGGTGTATTTTGCATAGATTATTCTCCTATGGATTAAAGATATCATGAAGCATTCACAGAATTCAGAGGCTACATTGCAAAGCTATCATAAATAAATACTAAAGAATTAACCAAATCATAGATTGAAACTTATTTAAAAGACAATATTGATGTATTCAAATTGAAATAGTTAGTGTCCAAAATGGAGATCAATTTTCAGTGATAACCTTATTAAATTGCCATCTGGTTAATGGGATTGGAAGTTTGCACTAAAATTCTTAAATGATAATGTCTCATTTAATAAAGCTGATTCCATAGCCTTCTGGCCAGTTAAAGCAGGTCTCTATACAGGCAGAGCTCACTTTGCATTTCCTGAATTCTCTAGATGGGTCCACCTTGGAACAAATACTTTACCTATGTTGAAAGTCTGTCCATAAGTGAGAGGATTTGGTCATGATGTTCATTCTGTTTAAGGTGATAACAACACATTAAATCATTGGGTTTATGAATTTGATAGTCAATCTTTTGTCTTTGCTAGTAGATTCACAAAGTAATGCAAAATTGCTATTTAGATTTTTGTCTATGTATGATGGAGTTCATTTATTATTAAAAGATAGAACCGAAGTTGGAAAAGAATTTGTTCCCTCAATTATTTATTCAAAGAAAGACCCAAATCATATCTATTCAGACTATTCTCCTGCTCATTATTATCATAATTGGAGATTCAATAATGTCTATAAAAACTTAGACACACAAAATAAATGAAAATATCAAATCAAATATATTGCATAATATCTATATCAATCATTAAATCTACAAATCTATTCTAGCCAATATTGTATCATCTTATTTTAATAGTCCATTTAATTGATCATTTTGCTTTAATGGTCCAACTCCATGAGGAGTTCCTGTTAGTACCAAATCACCTGGATTTAAAGTCATGAATTATGAAATATAACAAATTAAATCAGCAATCTTGTAATACATAGAACTTGTTTTATCCTGTTGTACAATTTTATCATTAATTCTCAATTCTAAAGTTAAATTATAAGGATCTTCAATCTTTTCCTTTCCAATCAAATTGCTAATCGGAAAGAAGAGGTCTTGTCCTTTTGATAAGTCCCAAGGAAATCCTTACTTTTTAAAATGAGCCTATAGCTCTCTATCTGTCAGATCCAAAGCAAGGAAATATCCTCCTACGTAATCTAACCAATCCTCTTTTTTAATGTTCTTCCCTTATTTACTAATCATGAAGCCAAGCTATAATGTTAATAGTGTAAATTAATACTTCTATTTCATGATGTATTTCGTGGCCAAGTTAAGGTAACTTTAATACTTGTGGCTTATCAACCAAAAAAATTGAAGTAAATGGTTTTTGAAATATGACAGGTTCTTTAGGTGGCTCCTCTCCTCCCATTTCCTGAACATGTTTCACATAATTTTTTCCTACAGCCAAAATTTTAGGATTGTTAGGATTTACTATTTTCTTAAATAATTCTTCCATTATAATTTTATTAAATTCGATTAATTATAATATTGAATAAGAAAATTATATACTTTTTCAACTTTATATTATATAATTATTTTTCACAAATCTTAATGATAAGGTTTTATCGCTGTTTATAGGTATTACAAAATAATAAAAGTTATTCTTTATGAGTTTTAGTGATTCATGAAATGATCAATATTTAGAAAATATTCATTTCTAGAAATACTCATAGTTTGGGTATTTGATATAGTAAAGATGAAGGTGGAAATCTATCAGTAGAACTTAAACTTTCTGAAATATTTATTCTATATAGTTTAATATTAATGTATTATAATTTCTATTAAATTTTGAGTTAATGTAGATATAAAGAGTATTGATATAATCAAACTCCTTTTTTTTACAAAAATTCCTCTGCTTAAGCTATTTTTTAATGATAAAGCATCATAATTTCAATGATAATCTAGTTTTCCTCGTGTCTCTTTTATTTTTCCATAACATATTTAGCCTTTTATTAGTTATAAGCATCTAAGAATAGAAAACTAATTGATTACTTTAAGTTTATTGTAAAATTCTCTATGTATTTCCTAATATTTTCTCACATTAACTTACAACATCTTGTGCTAATTCTTTATCATCTTCTAGACTATTTAAAAATTTTAATCTGCTATCGTATTCTTATTTTAACAGCACTTGTTCATTTAATAGATTTCTCCTATAATCAACAAAATCATTAGCTGATGTAATCTCTTGTTCTTCTAATGTTTTAATATGTTCTTATATTTTAGAAATCAATCCTTGAACTTTTCCAACAATTTCTGAAACCACTTAAGCTGCTTAATCTTCTTATGAAACCTCTAGAATCATATAGAAATTATACCTACTTAAGAAAACACTTCTTTGTGGTCTATCATATTAGTATAGAGCGACAACTTAGAAGTATATTCTTAAGCCTCCTCCTTTTATAAGAATGCATTTTATTCTTTGAGTTGCAGATCCCCATTAACCCACTCTAAAACATTTAATGCCTCTCTATAATCTCTTAATGCATCAATAAATAACGAATTTGCTTCGCATCTCTATTCAGCCAGATCTTCTAATTTCATATCATTTGACTTTCTTCTCTTCTCATTCCAATTCAAATAATCAGTAGTTTAAGCAATTTTATCGTCTACTGCTTCTAAATCTTCTGAATTCTTTTGCAAAGATTCATTATTCTCTTTCATAATTCCAGTAAACGCTGCACAATCATTCAATACACCACCTTCATATTCTTAGAATGCTTTGTCTGCCTATTCTCTAGTTGTAAAGATCTCATACTTTTCTATCTAATTCTTCATTAGCATTTTTAAGGTCCTCCAATAATTGCAATACTGCTTAAATAGCATCTCTTGCAGTTCCTAATCCAGTTCCAGTGCTTATCAAATTTAAAAATTCAGGATTGAATTTATGTTATTACTAACAAAAGATAATTGTAATGAAAGCTAATCCTATAAGCAGTCTCATTTCCGTTTTTATTTCCAATAATATATTATAAATTATAAGTAAGCCAACATATAAATTAATATTATTCAATACTTTTGGAGGTCCAAGAATGTTATGATGATCAAAATTAAACTGAAATTCTCTGCCGATTATGCCAATATTACTGTAAAATAATTTAATTATAACGTGGTCAATAAAGACAAACACTATCTGCAATTATTGATATAAATTAATTTTGAATTGAAAACTCTTTCAAAATGAGTGATGTTGAAAGCTTATTAATAATAATTGTGTGTTCTAGTTAACTAATTGTTATGTTAGTAATTTTTTCCCTAATTTACTCCTAATTAGATTGTAAAACTTAAATTATAATTATAAATAATTTTTAGAATGGAGACACAATAAGTGTAATGGAATTATAATGAAGATTCAAGTTTTTTGGAGCCAAAATATTTCCTTATAGTTGTGTTCCTTTGCTTTATAATCTATTTTTTTTTGAAGAATAATAAAGATGACAAAGGATAACCTATTAAGGTAATTTGTTTCTGAATTCAAACAAGGATGGAGTATGGAGGAAATTCGCTTTTTCATATTAAGAATTGATGAATACATTTGACACCTCTGAGAGGGAACTTCTCAAGCATACTTTTCATAATACTATTTTTAATACAGAAGCTTCTCGAGCCACTAATTATATAAAGAAACCTAGCAAAAAGAAAAGTAATGTGTCTTTTGCTTTAGATAAAAATGTTACTCATATGTTTTAATAAAATGGGTATTGAGTGTAATTATTTTCTTGTGAATTCATTAATTAAAAATGTTAAATATATTCATTAGTTATTTATTTTATTTCTTCAGGCAATTGACTCAAATAAATACATATTTAAATTATGATAAGTTGCTTTGAAATTATTAAAGGGATAAAAAATATTCAATTATTAAAAGAGGCTACAATATTCATCATTTGGTGCTAATACATTATATTAATTAATTAATTTAAAATTATTATAAACACATACTTTATGCTATAAATATCTCATTTAATTACTTGACACTATTTAACATTTTATGTTAAGATTGAAATCTTAAAAATTGATGGTCATTTCTTAAATTTGACACTATAAAATAAATGATAATAACAAATCAAAAACTGAATGGAATTAAAATATTAAAATATGAAAAACAAAAAATTTCAAAATCTACATTCCGATTTAATTTGTGATTTAGTTTAAATTAATAATAAAGAAATTTAATATTATGTTTGAATAGTAATCCAAAGCAAGAGAATATTTACATCTGATTTTAAATATTGTTATCTCCTCACTCTTTGCAGTACTGGAACAACTCTTATGTAATATTTAGGGGACTCTGATTTGGGATCTTGTTTTTATCCCTTGTGGCATAATATTCTCATTAATACACATAACTTCATACTTTCATTGGAATAAAGGTAAGGCAACTTTATTAAAATAGGTGATTTATCTTCCTTTTTTTTTTGGGCACTGTTCATGAAGAGAATATTTCTTTTTGGAATTAATTAAGGAGAATTTGTATTCTTTTTATTTGGATTATTAAATGGAATTTATACAAACAAATTAAATGTTAATGACAAGAAAAAGTACTATTGGAAATCTAAGACAATAGTATAGGTTCTCGTGATATTCGTGTTGACTATTATCAATTTGATGAAAGAATTGAGTGAAAATAATAATGCTTACATTGCAATCTTCATTATTCTTACAATAATCTTAGGTGTAAATGATAATATAGAGATATAAAATCAAGCTACTAAAAAGTAAGAAGAATTTCAAACAGATTTGAAGCATAATTAATTTGAAATTAAAAAATGTCAAACAACCATATTTTAAATGTAGTAGTAATAATAACAACAAAAGTCAAACTGGGAATAATACTAATAATAAACAGATGAGTGGATATGCAAAATAGATTTGAATAAATATTCATTAGTAGAAAGTTTAAATTCTTGCGAATAAAATTATGCACTAAGAAAATCTTTAGGAGATTATAAAATTTCAATTTCTCAGTTATTTCAAAATCTGATGATTACAAGTTAATAGACTAATTTATAGCAATCAATTAATCTTTGGTCAGAAATTGTGGAGACAAACTCATTATAGAGTTGGTTGGAAAAAAACTTTTTTTCTGATAGTTCAGCTTCAAAATTGGAATAGGCTAAGTAAAAATAATATAGATATGGTATGGATGGGATTCAGGGGATGCAAGAGGATCAAATATCGATAATATCACCATAGAATGAAGGCAAAGGCACATTTAACAATAAAGATCAAATTCATGAATTTTCTGGATTGTCAGCATTTTAATAGCATGGTGATATGCAAGGATCGAATTCAGTTTTATTTAATAAGACTACCTTAGGTTGTTATTTTCAGTCAAATTAAATAAGGATTGAGATGAAGGCTTCGATATTTTTGATGGATGATGAATTTGACAATAAGAAATAGATTATAATATTGGTCCTTAGAAATATTGACAAAGAAATAACAAAAGTTAAAACTAGTTTAGAGAAAACTGAACAATAGAGGATTGTATTTTATAAATATATAAACAGAGTAGCTGATGATGTATCTCAGATATTATAATAAATAGTGCAAATAAAAAAGGTTTTAGATTAGCGATAAAAGTAATGTATTATAATAAACTAAAAGAGAATTTGATAAGATAAAGCAAAATAACTTCATTACTTTATCATTCTGTGACGGTGATGCATTTATCAAGTCTGAAAAATAGATAGGCGAGATGAAACTGTCATAAAAACTAAGCATACCTATTTAATCACCTGTTTAAACTGCATTTCAAAGAGTGACTTCTTCTTTAAGTTAACAACATGATATTTAGGAGGAGTAGATTTAAAAATTACACACTATTTCGTAACCATCTGAATTAACAAAACAGATAGAGAAATGGTAATTCAATGTGCTATAGATGGAGCAAAATAATTTTAATTTTTTTGAGTTATTTTCAATAAGTGAATATAAATCAGATAGATTTAATTTTAGTACCAGTTTAAACATAGTGAAAGAACTGTTTAAGGATGATAGTTTTGTAATTAAACATAATATCATAATATCTCAAGTGGTGGAAAATGAGAACTAGATGGAGTTGAATTCAGACAAGAGAAGAGTTAAATAATTGCTAATAAATATAATTAAGAATTCAATTCAATGTTTTGATTTTAACATTTCGAAGGGAAAATCAGATTTTTTGTAATCAATGATAATTGAATCAAAGCAAGAGACCATACACTAAGAATTAAAAGTCTAAAATACGATCATAATTAATTCTTCGGCAGACGATGAGAAAATAACAGTAGAAATAACTGATAACGGTGGAGGGATTACATAAGAGATGCTAAAAAATAGGATCTAGGATTGTAAATTAGGATTATAGGCATGTTAAAAGATTCTAAAAAACCTCTCTCATGACCCAAGGAAACCTTTGGAGATCATCAATTATATGAAAACCAAAAATGGAATCAAGGGCACTGTTGTCAAGTTTACTCTATCGAAATAGTTTGTGCCCACGTAATCGAGCGAAGAAAATTTGTTCTCTGATTCATTGACTATTAACAACAAAGTTTTGAATTGATAATATAATTAATTATATGTAATCTCCTAATAAAAGTGCTTTGTCACATAGAGATTAAGCGGATGATGTTAGGCCACTTGCGGTTTAAGAACAACTAGATTTGGGACCATTTAAAATAACTCCTCAACAATTATAACAAATATTTCATCTAAACACAAGAAGAAGTACTTGCGAAGAGTTAGATTACTTGGTACAACAAGGAGGTATAGGTAAGCCACTAACATTATTCACTAATTTTAGATTGGTTAATTGATGGTTTACACACATCTATAAAGGATGGAATAAATGACGACCACGATTAAAGAATTTAAGTCTATGGACATAATAAAAGAATCGTGAGACCTCCATAAACATATTGTGAATTGTTATGGAATGCGTTAGAAGATTTTACAATGCGAGTTTTATTAATAGCATCAATAGCCAGTATTGTGATAGAGGTAGCTACTGCAGATAATGAACATCGCCATTTAGCCTGGATTGAGGGGTTTGCTATATTTGTTGCAGTCTTAGTTTGTACTAATGTTGCTGCTATGAATGACTATTCAAAAGAGAAGTAATTTAGAAAGCTCAATGCTGCCAGTGAAAAATCGAAAATAGTGGCAGTTATTAGAAACAAACAATTGATTCAAATTCATGAAGAGTAAGTGTTGGTTGGAGATATTTGTAAACTAATAGAGGGAATGGAAATTCCAGCTGATGGAGTATTACTTGAAGCTTCTGATGTGAAAGTGGATGAATCCTCAATGACTGGAGAAACCCATTCAATTACAAAAGGGACAATAAATTAATGTCAAATGTAGAAATAGGAATTGCAGGCTGAAGGAGTTCAATTAGGTGAATAAGACAGATTTAAAATACCATCTCCTGCATTACTATCTGGTACAAGAGTATTAGAGGGAGAAGGATTATTTTTAATATGTGTGGTTGGAGATCTCTCTTGTTTGGGTTAAATTAAAGCTTCCTTAGAATAAGAAGAAGAGGAAGGTATAATAATTATCTGATTATTTTACTAGAAACTCCTTTATAAGTTAAATTGACTATGATAGCAGAAGACATTGGTAAGTTTGGATTGATCTCAGCAGTGTTGATATTCTTTGTCTTGATGATTCGTTTCGCAATAGAGAGAGGAATAGCCAATGAGTGGGATCATAGCAAACATTGGATGGAGATACTGAATTTCATCATTCTTTCCATTGTGGTTCTTACAGTAGCTATTCCTGAGGGATTGCCTTTGTCAGTTACAATTTCTCTGGCTTATTCTGTTCAAAAGATGATGGATGATAAGAATTTAGTTAGGAAAATGTATGCTTGTGAAACCATGGGAGGAGCAGATTCCATTTGTTCTGATAAGACAGGAACATTGACAATGAATAAAATGGTCTTAACAAAAATTTGGAATAAGCAATTTTATGAAATTGACTATTTGGCTAAAGAATAGAATTTGAGTTAGTTGATATCAAAATCAATGGAAAATCTATTTTTAGAAGCTTTATGTTGTAATTCATCAGCTGAATTGATACCTGAATCAGGATCAAAGACTGAAATAGCCATACTAGAATATTTGCAAAAGGCAAGAATAGATTATAGAAAAAAGAGAGAGTCAGTGAATTTCATTAAGAAAAACCCTTTCAGTTCAGCGAGAAAAAGAATGAGTGTCATAGTGGATACTAAACACAATGGACTACCAGTCAAAAGATTATACATAAAGGGAGCATCTGAAATAATAGTGTAAAGTTTAACTCACATGCATACCTATGATGATTAGAAAATAAAATTGGGAGTTAAGGAAATATAAGAGATTGAGAGAATAATCAGTTAGATGGCTAAATAATCTTTGAGAATAATCTGTGTTGCTTACTTAGATTTGAGAGGAGATGAAGACTTATAGAAAATTAATGGAAAAGTGTACGATATTGAAACGCAAGATCTTACATTTCTAGGATTGTTTGGTATAATGGATAATCTCAGAGAAGGAGTTAAAGATGCTGTTACTAAATGCAAATAGGCAGGAATTAAAGTGAGAATGGTTACAGGAGACAACTCAGAAACTGCAAGAGCCATCGCTATGAATTGTGGAATCATTGAATAAGGAGACAGTCAAGCCATTGTAATTGAGGGAGCTGAATTTATGAAAGAAGTTGGAGGAGTTGTTTGCAAGAATTGTACTACTGAACTGTGTAAATGTGCTAAGTCATCCAATGAAGCAGAAAAGAATGGCACTTCTTTAAGAGTGGATACTCTGGGCAATATGTCCAGATTTAAACAAATCTATCCTTAAATTGCTGTTATGGCAAGATCTAGACCTACTGATAAATACGCTATGATTATTGGATTAAAAGAGTGTGAACATATTGTGGCAGTAACAGGAGATGGTACCAATGATGCACCAGCCTTAAAGAAAGCAGACGTTGGTTTTGCTATGGGTAAAGCAGGAACTTAAGTTGCCAAAGATGCTTCTGCTATTATTTTAATGGAGGACAATTTTAGTGATATTGTTAAGGCTGTCATGTGGGGTAGAAATATATTTCAATCCATAAGGAAATTCTTATAATTTTAATTGACAGTCAATGTAGTTGCAGTGGGATTCACCTTGATCTCCTCTGCTCTATTAAAGTAAGATGTTCTTAAACCTATTTAAATGTTGTGGGTCAATCTCATTATGGATTCCTTTGCTTCTCTTGCTTTGGCTACTGAACCTCCTTCCGAAATCCTCTTGAAGGATCGTCCATATTCAAGATCTGAGTCCATTGTCACTTATAAGATGATTAAACATATTATTGGATAGGCCATTTATCAACTGACTGTCATTCTAATTCTCGTGTTTCTAGCCTAAGAATTCATACCTGAATATGCCGATGACTACGATGATGTCATTAGAGACAGAATATAGGAAAAAATGGAAGAAGACTCAGATTTTGTTTTTGAATAATCCTCTCTTTATCACCCTAAATATAATACTGACTATTATCCTGAATCTTTGAGATTAAGAAGTGGAAGATTCTTGACTGTTACTAGTGAAAATGATTTTGAAGATATTTTTAATGAGTTCAGAGTGCCATCTCGTCATTACACCTTTATTTTCAATGCTTTTGTTTTTATGCAAGTGTTCAATTTCATTAATAGCAGAAAATTAAATGATGAGATCAACGTTTTTTCCAACATATGCAACAAGTATTTTATTATTCTATTTAAGTCTTATGTTCGTTTTGATAGTGTTCTTTATAATAATCTTGCAAATTATTTTAGTCACCTTTGGTAGTCTTGCTTTCTCATGCTATAGTTATTATGGACTTACAATTCAATAATGGGTGATCTCCCTTATTATAGGATTGGTTGGACTTGTTGTAAGTTTCATACTCAAACTCATACCTGAATAACATGTAATAGAATGATATTTTATTTAGATATGCCCGAAAACATAGCATGCAGGATCAAGGACTCTTGATAAAAAACCATCTGGTATTCTAGAATTGAGAAGAGGATCGTCTTTAAGGAAAAAATAATCTATGCATGTAGATCAACCACCAGTTTAAGATAATCATATTTAATTAATTGAAAAATGATTTTTAAGTTTTCATTTAATGGATTTTAAAGATGAATTAGTTTTTGATGTTGTAGATTATTTTATCTATTTGATTGGCGTAATGTTTGGCTTTGCTTTGGCCAATTAATTCAATGACTTTGAAATCGATAGTATACTTTTTCCACTTGGACTTTTGTTCAAACCATCTAAATTTAGATTGTATGTTATTTATTCCAAATTGTACTTCTACTCTTACAATTAAGATAGTTGATTATTCATCTACAATATTTCCTATTCCAATTAAGCTTTGTTTGGTTTTATCTTATTAATCAACTAATCCTGAACCATTTATATAGATTATTTTATTTCATAAATCTTATTATTTAATTCATTCTCTTGTCTTTGAAATTAATCCATTTTCTTTTTAAATTCTTATTCCATACATTGAATTTCTTATTCTATCTTACTGGTCCTTTCCAAATAATGCTTTTCATTTTGATTCAAATGTTCGATCTCCCTTTTCAATTTACTTAATTATTGAACTACTTATTTAAATTAAGGTAATATCTATTGATCAACCATAAAAATATTGGTATTAATCGCCTACTCTGAGATTTCAAACTTTTCAATCAATTTCATTACATTAATAAATTATTACTAAAATTAAATCTATTCAATTACATTCTCTTTCTCCCCTATAATTTAAATTATTTCTTCCTGAATGCTCAACAACATCTTATCATAATCCTCATGCTCTTTCATCTATTGTAACTATTCTTGATTCTAAGTTTTGTACATATCATAAGCTTCTAAGGCAGACTACTCAACCATACTCTGGAATTAATCTTAAGCACTTTCTTAGGTTTGAAAAAATACATTTACTCATTTATTTTAAATTACTCCTATTATTCTTCTAATTATTTGATCACCAGTCTTTTCATCTCCATTTAACTATCAATTTCTTATATCTTATTCTAAATTTATAGTTCCTCTCCATGATGTCTTAGACTTAACTTCATTTCCTACAATTAGGTTTATATTAATTTTTGTTGCATCGAAACTATTATAAATTATTCTAATTAAGTAATGAATTCCTTCATACTACCCCAATTAGCGCCTTAGTTTGAATTCTTAAACAAATTATTTCTTAATGATTAAAGATACTGTGCTAATTTAGTATTAAAATTGCTTTAATCAATAGATATGACATCAGTCTGTTATTAAAATTCTTGTAATAAGTTGTCTGGATGAGCTAAATTAAGACTCTTGTGCAATGGAATTATTTTATTTCTTTAAATCTTAATTTTTTAATTAGCTTAATGTAATTAAACTTCCAGCAATGTTGCTTAATGTTATAATCCTAATTGCTTCTACTTTTCTTCTCTTTGTTACTGTAAGACTTTAATTTCTTTCTCCTAAAGAGCTACTTGATTTTGATTTTCTTAGTATTTTTTACCATTTAGAAAGTACATCTAAGAAATCATAAACAATTATTCATTCTGATTTCTAATTTGCTCTACGAATTCCTCCAATTCTTCTTTTTAACCCACTAACTCAGCTCTCTGTAATAAATGAGTATTTAAGTCTTCCTACAAAATTTACTTAGTTTCTATCATTTAACAATATAATTCGTTAGCATGTTATTTCTATTTAATAAATCCTTAGTGCTCTTTGTTAATTGTTTCATATAAACTTTTCAGCTTATTGAATTCAGATTCATAATAATCGAACACTGAACTCTACTATCGGTCAATGTCTAATTACATGGAAGAATAACTAATGGTTAATAATTATGATTACTTTTGCTCTTC